AGAACTATTCAACTTATATAGTATTTTTTTTAAAGTACAGCTTCATTTAAAGTGTTATTCCATGTACGAGGTAACATTTTCAAATTAAAAATTAATAAATCTGTCAAAGAACATTATTATGCAAATTATGGGTCTGGAAAACTGTTTGTACTATAATTAATTTTTTACATGAATCATAACGGTTAGTAAACCTCCTAATAAAATTACTAAAGTAATAAGTTTTTGTAATATTTAAAAACAAAACGACCTTTTCTTGAAAGTATAAAAGTTGGCTACACACGCGATATTCGGACAGGAATTAATTAAGGAAATGTCACCTTCACGACAAAGTATATTCATTACTTTTTTGTTGAAAATAAACTATTTAATATTTTTCATACCAAGAAAACGAGGAAAACCGAATATACCCAATCGATGTTACGGTGCTTTATCATTGGGGGCAACTAACCGATATTATTTTTCATAAACATTTATTTTAATCTCTTCTAAACTGAACTTTTCAAATTAATCTTTCACATCGGAAATAGGTCGTTATAATAAGTAGTGTCTGTCGTGGCTAGATTGTAAGCGATTCATTAAAATAAATTTAAAAAGTTTAAAAAATCTTCTTCCGCTCTATAAAAATTGTATCTAATTTATAACAATTTACACTTGTCTTGTACAGTGACGAATATCAATAACTTTTATTTTATTCTCGTAATTGTGTTTTACTAGTAATGGAAACGCGAAATGATTTTGGTATAAATATAAGTTTTGGTTAAGTTTTTGCTGCAGTGATTGTTGCCCTTGAAGCTAGCAATTATCTATTCTAGTCAGGTAACAGGTTCTTAGTTTAGTGTTCCAGTATTTGATAGTAATGACCCTCTGAGTCACTGAACACTGTAAGTTCTATTATTGTACCAAGGTGTTTTTATTTTTAAAGGCTTTAGAATAGAGTACATTTATGATTGCGTTTCGGTAAATGTTATAATTACGAACACTTTTATTAATCCTGTATATTAAGATAGATCATTTTGTATATATTCCATGAACAGATGGTTGTGACATATTGGATTTAGTCCAACTAAACAGGTTAGACTTCACGCCGTGACAAAAGGTGAGGGTGGCGCACTTTATATAAGCGATGTGTGTTTCTTCATGTAAACAAGGACAGATTTATTTTCGATATTAATACCTTAAAAAAACAAGTCACTTTGATAAATATTCTGTAGTTAGACATCAAAGGCAGGCATGAGCTCCATAAAGATTTAGAATGGGTAGCATGAGATTTCATATTTTTTATACAATCATAAAAAATACTCCATGGTTTAAGTGTCGAGGTCATCCTTGAGTATTTAATTCTATTAAATTTTCAATAAACTATTTTTATTCAAGATATTTTTTTAAAACAAATCTACTACTTCATCTTTAGTGACCACAAAATATCATCTGACTGTTCAAAGAATCATATTCTTAATTAAAAATGACAGCGAATTCACGTATACGCTTAGGTTTTTGGAGAATTTGATTACAGTTCTAGATTAGACAAACTTCTAAATAATAATTTGTTAGTTATACAAGAGAATGGCGGTTGTTATTACTTTTGTTGTAAGTATTTTGGCAACAAGTAGTGACATAAAAAACTAAAATAGTGTAGCAATATCAGAATTTAAACACTTAATGTTGCAGTTAAACAATATAATGCGCTTGACCACCTATAAAGATTAGTTAGATTCCCAATTTACATCAAAACTGGAACAAGGTTCGTTCAAAATGTACTTTATTTGACATTAAATGTTATGGCACATCCTGTCTCTCAACATGCGACTTTTGTGTACAATATTGAGGTTTATGATCGCCGTAAAAACATCCATACTCAACAGTTCTTAATTAAAAATGATATATAAATATTTTTGTTAACGTTTCAATGGCCATTAGTACGATGTTTACATGTAAAACCGTAAAAATCACACTTTATTGGCTAGTCAATATTAATTATTTTACACGTGTTGGAATATATTACATATTGTGTTTTCATTCACTATTGCAAAACAAAGAAAGATCGATAAGTAAACTTGTTTCAGGAGTTGGAAATAGAAATAAAAATGAATTTCACAATATAAAACATTGTGGTTTATTTATTTACGTATAACGATCTTTGTTTTGACTGTTTCATTTATAAGAAGAGTTTTGTGTTCAATGCCATGGCCTAATTGTAAAATCATTTGGTTCAGTTACCGTGGGTACTGATACGTGACATAATTATAAAAGTCAACTTTTGTTCAATGTTAGTTAAATCATGAGACGATTTTTTGAAAGAAGGAGGTTATTGTTCGCAAAAATAATTACAAGGTCAAGTTTCGAGACTTATATAAGTATAATAGTGTATTTTTTTGGTGATTTTATGTTAACGTTTAAATAATAAAGCCTTTAAATAACACTTTTTATTTATTAAACAAATTGGTGTTCTTTAAAAATATGATTAGTTTCTTAAACTATATTAAGGTTTTTCTAAGTATCCCAATTCACAGTATACGAATAATTTACATAAAAATATACATACTGAGACATTGTGACATTCATAGAAAATTACTTTATTGATGATACTATTTGCAAGTAAAATAAAAAATAATTGTATTGTTTTTGTATATTCACTTTCTAAAGGTTTATATTTACTGATGAGTGACGTAAATGTTTGCACAATCACGTGCGTTATGCGTTCAGTGAAAGTAACCAAACCGGTGGCATCTTTCGCTACGATTTAGTAATAGTTTGTCCTTCTTATTTTAAATGTGAAAGAAAGTGACAAAAACTCCGTAATAAACTCAGCTAGCCTTAATCATTTACTACACCACCTTCCGTAGGACTTCTTTTGAATTTATAGAACAATGACGTCAATTAGTCTAGTCTTCAAACCAATATGTCGTGGAAAGTATATATTTTCACATAAAGTATGTATATGTTTTTTGGTTATTAATATAATTTTGGGGTTAGAAGCCTCGTGTATTTTTTTAATCTGCTCTATTTATTTAGCTTAAAAGCAACAGTTTTCATGCTATAACACGCCGCGGCTATCTTCAGATACTGTCTTGCGCAACGCTCGGCCGAAATAAAGTTGGATGTAGAAATGTGCGAAAGGCTAAGACGTCACGGGCATTCTGAAATTAACAAGTTACGCAAAATGTTCCCGCCCCCTTTATTAATATTAAAACAGACCTGAAACTTTTCAGAACTCTTATATATATTATTGTACTTCCATTTTATTTCGCAACAATCATACAGTCAGAAATATTAATATATGTTACATTCAATATTCGTTTTTATATTTTTAACAGGACAATATATTAGACACCTTGTCTGTACATGTTTACTACAGCTGTGCTCTATTTAACTCTTTCATTCAATAATTAATTGATCAGTCATGCAACAAAACATTTTATCTTAAATTTGTTTGTTTTCTATTTAACAATATTGAAGGTAGCTTTCTTTCAATGTTAATTATGATTCCTATTAAAACTTATTAAGATGTTATTGACCTTATTTAGATTAAGAAAAAAAGCATAATTTTAATATTTTGTTATGATAAAAAGATCTTCTTTTAATTAATGGACAGATTGTGTTTTATGGTGTAAAATATATTGTTATTTCCATCTATGTTAAGAGGAATTAGAAATGTTAATAAGCAGCGAAATGGAAATCGAATAAACCATAATTTAATAGAAATAGTCAACACCATTTGTGGACTCGATGTAATGGTGATATGTGAATAAGAGAAAATGTAGAAAGTATTGTTGTTGAAATGTTAATTTTATACACCTCATTCATTTTCGAGTTTTATTTTCATTAAGAACTATAATATCTTTAAGTTAATAATAAAATATATATTTTAATGATTCTTTGGCTGTAAAGAAAATTTTAAGATCTCAAGTTCATATGAGTCATTTATATTTGATATTTATTTGAAATGATGAGTTAGTAATCCTTTTATAATAACATTCAAACCTAATAACGCTTAATTCTATTCAGTGACGGCATGTTTTATTTATGTACCGCTTTAATTCAACTCACTAACAGATAGTAATCTTAGAGATACATAGTTCTGTATTCGATAAGATAGAACTAAATGAATCTGTTGATTCTGGGGGAATCCTCCGTATCATCGCTGCTCATTTCCTGTAAATGTTTTCGTAAGGCCCAACATATTCAGCGAAATATTGTTACGAAAACATTAAGTCTGTATCACACACATACCAAATAAATGAGTCAACGTTGATAGACGTTAAGTAGGATATTTTAAAAACAGATGTTGTAAATAAAAGGTTATTGAGATTAAAAATATAATGTAATATCTTATTTTTAGAAAAATATCAATGAACATTCTTGACTGTTTTTCTGATATAAACTGTTATAAGGCAAAGTATATTTTATTATTACTACCGACAGCATGAAATTAATTCTATTAAATCACAGACATAATCTATTAGAGGTAATTTTTCAATATATGCGTCAAATGTTTTTTTTATTACATGTCTGTATAAGTATATTCTCGTTCTGTATGTCAGATTCGTATCTTTTTATTATATTCTCAGATTACATTTCAATTCCAAGGTAGTCGTGATAGGATAGTTTATATTACATTTTTTTTATACCATAAATACATCATTTTAAAACTAATTTTTAATGGCCCCGGCTGGGGCCATAATTTGCGGGGAACATGAGAGTTCACTATGCAATTATTTTTTTATATATAAAAAGAAGGGTTGAGTTTTAATCTGTGTATACAAATGATGATACGCACTATGAACTGATGTATAAAGAATGATATTACATATACTTGAATAATTTGTTTCTAGTTTTATAAATAACTGATCAAGTTGTATATTTTCAAGTTTTTTTTTGTTATAATTCACTTTAAAATGATCATATAGGTTATGATTTATACGTTATTGTATATTACATGAATTCAAAATATTAAGCGATATTTTCTAAACAAAAATCTGTAAAATGATGTATTGTTTCAGGTACCGGAACTTTTGGTCGCGTGTGCCTATGTCGTGATAAAGCGGCCGACGAGTACTTAGCTATGAAGATTCTGTCAATGGCCGACGTTATTCGTCTGAAGCAAGTCGATCATGTTATGAACGAAAAGAGCATCTTAGCGGAAATAAATCATCCCTTCATTGTCAATTTGTAAGTGTTCTTGAACAATGTTTATCCACAATATCCTAAAACGAAAGTGACGTAAATAGGAAAGCAAAAACATGGGCTGGCGGCCAATAATTAAAGTGTGGACGAGTTGAAGACATTTTCAATTCATTATAACAAATGTGCTCTGACAATGTTAAAGAATTGTTTTATTTTTTTTCTTTAAAACTATATATATTTTTTTACGTGCGAAGTTTTTTAACGTATACATTTTCTTCGAACTATGCATAAAATATTCGAAGCCAGTAATATTATTATGTTTATGTAGAAGTTATATTATGTATAGTGATTTTGATAAGGTTTAAAACGTTTTATGGACAGGGATAAACCGGTTTCCTGCCTCGCGTGCCGTATCAGGCCATCAAATCTGGCAATCTTCACCGTCAATTTATTCTATTGACAGTGACTGTGATCTATTGCTGTTTTCACAATCTACAATTAGGTTTTATTATCGGTATATTTTTATTGTATTTATTTTAGATTCATATGGTAAATGTGATTTCAATAATAATGTTTCTTCTCATTAATTGTTTTATATTTTAATAAATATTTTTGATAACAAGACAAGTTCAAAGTCTTTAAAAGTAGAATAGGATTGTGATATTATATTCGTATAAAAATATTTGTTTAAAATGAAACTTTTTTTTTGTCTATTTGCTTGATTATGTTTAAAATTTATAAGAAATAATTTGTAAGTTGCTTGAATTAAAGTTATTATTACGAAACGAAGTCGTGAATTATTAATCTATAAAGAATAATATTGTTATATTTTTTTTCTTTGTTTCAGACGGTGGTGGACCCATGATGACTCTTGCATTTACATGCTCTTTGACTATGTATGTGGTGGAGAATTGTTTTCTTATTTAAGAAATGCAGGCCGCTTTAGTAATAGTATTGGTAAGGATTATATAACATATTATTACTGTAAAAAAATATTTTTTTGCTGACTAACTGCTTAATAGCTTCACCTTACGATCTCTCATTTCACGGTTAAGTCAAATTAAATTTTTATTATTTCTTTTTAGTAGTGTTTAAAACCATTTAAGGTTCTTAAATCTTTAACTATAACATAAAATTTTTGAATGAGTTAGGTCAACACTAATACATTTTTACTTGCAAACTAGTGTATGTAGTGTGTAAATTTATACGGGTATACATCCATACATTCATACATCCAAACAGATAAACATACATCAGGCAATTCATCTATATCACAATAGTACATGTTTTGATCGACATAAAACGTTGTTTTTTGTTCTATTGGCTTCTAGCCTTGACATTGCCAAAAAACTAAAATCACGGCTCCGTCTGTTACAAGGTGGAGGTCTATACATAGTCAATGATGCAGTAATTGATTCAATGACGTCATTCACTTCAATTCTAATTTTATTTTGCTATATCAACCATCACTTTGATATACATATTTAAATCAGCTATACGTATAAATAAAATGTACTGTATTTACAGCTTCATATAAGCTAAATTATGAGTACATACTTTGATGATTTTTTTTGACTTCAATGTACTTTTATATTATTAATAAAGAGCAAAATAGATAAGAGAATCAGTTGTATCAGTGTCTGGTCTTTGGTACTTTAGATAAACAACGTTATACACAGTCATATCGAGTAATATTGTTGTCAACCAAATGGCCATGACGGTATTAAAAACATCACTTACAAGAACTTCCCATAACTTTCCGAAACAATTAGATCCATATTATGATGTAATAATCATATTTATTATAAATAACACGGGGAATTCACTCAAGTTATGAAATAATAAAATTTTATCTTACTCGGTATTTCAAATATCGTCTTGCTAAACAATATGTATAAGCTACGTTAGTTGATGTCATAAAGAAATAAACAAAAATTTTTACATGAAAATAAATAAAATTCAATGAAAACTTATACAAATAATCTTTATTTTCATATTCTCATATTGAAACCTACTATTAATCAGTTGCGATGACTGTATTTCTGGAGAAAGGACATGCCAAAAATAAGCGGTCAATGACGCGCGTATCTTTCACCATGAGAAATATAGAGGCGTAAGGCTGTGTCTTCGTTTGATGTAAATTAATAAATAATGAAATCTTTTGTGGATAATGAATAAATTTATAAAAATAACCTTTATAATTTATGACTTAACACAGTTTTGGGAACGTTTAAATAGAATTGAACAGCCAGACATACAGACGCCCGTTCGGGATCGCACCACTCACTGGCTTATAACAACTCATTAAATAAACATGTACCGTTCCTGTTACGGGTGTTGAAATTGGTTATTGTGATATTTTACTCTAGCTGTTCGGCTTATAACACAATAATAATAACTATATTTATCTAGTTAAATGAAATTAATCTCAAAAATATTTTCCATACAGAAATCTTTCTTAGTGTCTTTAAGTAAAGATAGAAATATTAGTTTAATATAAATAAAAAAAATTACTTTACAATATTTCGAGTGTTGACGTTAAAAATTAATATTGAAACTATTCTGGAACATTATAAATAGTATTTCACATTTTAACGAGGGATGTAGCTGATTAGTCATCATTTACGTATTTAACTGTTTCCGATTGCTGCAATCCCCAGCTGAGGTATTAAATTGAATGTATAACCTCTACTTTATATATAAGTTCAATATAATCCTATTATATTTTAAAGCTTAACAACAACTAAAACTTAATTATTACAGGTAATTTTAAAAACAATGGATAATATGTATTACCCATTATTTTTACCATAGGTTTTTTATTTTTTTTATTTCTTCGGTTGAAGAAAATCATGAAAATAATGCTCACACCAAAACGATGTATGTGTATAAAAATAAACAAAATGCGTTGGAAGTTACAATTAAATCAAGTAAAAGTACGTGTTGTAGTCCTTTCAACAAGAAAGGCTTCTTTAATACTTTACTAATTAAGTAAAAGAACATTAGTTTTATTTTACATCATAATAATATTAGAAATATTATCACGAGGATTAAAATTAATGATCATAATTGATTACACTAAAACATTATAACAAAATTCTCATCCAGTAAACGTATACAACGTCTTGAAACTCTTCCAACCGTTTAATTTTATATTACTATGTATGATAGATGACTTTAATCGCGGATAAAATCGATATCTCAATAATCTTAATTAATTAACGAATAATGTACTACAATAATATATTACATATTATGAATACTTCTTTTATGATTAATCACGTATGATTTTAATTAAGTTTTAGAATTGTTACTATAATTCAATTTAACATAATATTTGACATCTATGCTAATAAGTAATAAAATAAAAAAATAGATTTTATTGAATGATGTCAGAGCTTTTTGACTTTTCGTATTCGGTGTTCCAGACCAAAGTTAGCTTATATTCAAGTTAAACTGATGTCATACATCGAGACGAGACCATGACGCGACTATCGCCTACAGTCGCCTCGTCTGATTCATGAACCTCTATTCTAAAGAGCATTAACCATATTATTAATCACAAAATTTATTACATCATGTAACATCAATTCGTGTGGAGTTTAATTATTTCAATTTTCATATTAAAAGCAGAGGACAAAGTATTCCTACGAGAACGAACTCACTCTAATAATACACAAAATGACGCCCGACATCGTCCAGTGCTGGCAATCGTCATTGACTTTACGAACACCAAAATAAACTTTCTGTATTTTCTTTTTGCAAATCAGATGATATTTTTTTATATTACGTTGGCTAGACTGATTATCTCAGAGTATACTCACAGTTTTGTCGCGACGCAGAGATTATCTTCAATCGCATTTTAATTTTTTTATATAATAGGTAAATTCTTAATATAAGAAAAGAGGGCATGCGCTTTTATTATATTTTTATGTACTTTATATAAGCATAAGTATTTCTTTTATTAAGAAAAATAATTTATTTAATTTAACATTTAAATGTACTTAGGAAATAAATATTAATTATAGTTATATCGATCGTGATAAAAACAAGTATAGGTGTTAAAACCTGTTAACACCTATACTTAGTGGTTTAGAAAATTATTGTTGGTAATCACATCTTAATATTTTTTTTTTAATTTTCGGCTACATATGAATCATAAAATTGTATAAGGTAAAGAATAGTTTTTTATAATATGCCGCTCAAAATCCAGTGTTTGATTTGAAATTTTGAGTGCTGATATGAATAAAAATGCTTACCGTTATGTCCTAGATAGTGTTTTTGACAGAGAAAGTTTCATATAAATATTTCTTCACAGGTAATTTCTATGCTGCAGAAATAGTATCAGCATTAGAATATCTCCATGCAAGAAATATAGTGTACCGGGATTTAAAGCCTGAGAATCTATTACTAGCAAAGGATGGCCACTTGAAGATAACAGACTTCGGGTTTGCAAAGAAACTGACAGATAGAACGTGGACTCTATGCGGTACACCAGAGTATCTTGCACCGGAGATCATACAGAGCAAAGGACATAACAAAGCAGTGGATTGGTGGGCATTAGGTTGGTCACTATTCGTTTTGTTTTCTTTAATTAAGAATAAAGTATTTAACTTTTGTACTGATAACTTTAATTTATTAGCGCTATACCGTTGTAATATTACTCTTTAATTATAACGTTATAAAATAAACATTATGAAACGTTGTTTAAACTCTTGTAATTAGTAATTCAAAACAACAGCCGAATGACCTAGTCTGTGCCAAATGTGTTTCAATGTCTCTTGTTTTGCCCGAATCTAAAAATGTGCAACAATAACAAATCTAGATGGGTATTAAATTGGAGACAAATGACTTTTATCACAATTAATATCAGTATAAATGATGAAGGCATTCAAATGATGACTTTTAATTAAATAAAGAATACAGTGCTTAATCAAAAATTTTCATGATTACAGTTTGTTATTTTACATTAAAACTTTGACTCAAACTTTCTTTCTTATAATTATAAGGAATACCTCTTGTAAAGTTTTTAATCTAATTATTTTGACAGATTATTATTAAGAAATTACTTTTAAAAAATAGGGACTGACGGTGACCCAAATTTATGGCCCATATTCTATAGCGATTTGTTTTTTTATTTATTTAAACAGTAACTTTCCTCGATTACATATTTTATCTGGTTCAAGATTTTAAAGATTGCCATGTTCTTTGATAATATAAAACAACAGTAGCAGACGATTTGATAACCTCCTTAGATAATTATTTTATTTATATATATGTACTTATATTGTTTGGTTACTGTTGTTCAGTTTGATTTAGATTTTATATTACCGCCTTATTATTATGCGTCTACGTCAAATCAAATGGGACATGTTACGCGTGCGACATCCAATGTTTCCATTATAATTTTACGTTGCGGTGATTTATTGGTCATTCTATTCTCTCCGATCCACTTGGTGCCAGATGTATAAATGTGATTAGATAATTTATAATATTATAGCAACCGTATAATTATGCATTAGAAGGTTTTTTGGCGGACTTAATAAAGGGCTAAAATATACGGATAATTAAACTTTTAATAGTATATCGATACACAATTTCATCAATAATTTTTATACTATCAGTTTTGATTTTAGATATATATTTTTTACTTTAATGTCTTACAAATTTATGTTAGCGGTGTTATAACTCATAAGTTGTTCTATTTGAAATGACGAATAGAAAGTTCCGATGAGACGAAGACAATAAATAACATGAGATCATTTCAAGCTAATATATTTAAATAGTAAACGAATTAAGATAGAAACTTTTATGTTCTTAAGTGGGTTTTACCCACTTCTTTACCAAAATTATTGTTTTAAAAGTTGAACATGTTTTTATTGATACGTTTTATGCATGTTGTATTCCAGGAGTCCTCATTTATGAGATGTTAGTGGGCTACCCTCCTTTTTACGACGACAATCCGTTTGGGATATATGAGAAAATTCTGAATGGCAGAGTGGATTGGCCTAGACATTTAGACCAGGTCGCCAAGGATATTATTAAAAAACTGCTGATCCAGGATAGGACGAAGAGGCTCGGAAATATGAAGGTATTTATTTTAATTTTATGTAGGTATATTTATTACATGATAATTGCCTTAAAGAATTTCTCTAATTAAACATTGTTGCTTTAAATGGTAAGGTTTTTAGAAAACGTTTTATTCTGTAAGTTTACGTTCGAGCCTGATAAAGTTAACCGAAACCGTTGCCCATGGCTTGAGTGCTTATAAAAAAACTCGTCGCCCGGTTGGAATGACAAAACAGACGTTATTTCTTAACAAAACTCTTATAATTAGAATTAATTTTTCAAGAAAACGTAATTCTTAATTGCAAATATAATTCACATAAAGAGTTTTCTGACAGCGAGGTCGAATAGTTAATTCGATTTTTGCAAATAAATGCGGATATAAATAATCCTGGTACAATTAATTTGTGTCCAAAGTGCATAAAAATTGCTGTACGCATTTTGCTTTTGAAGTTGGCCGTTTTCCAGATGATTCCATATATAAAGTCTAATCTAACACATGACAATTTACAAACTACGTTTAATTGCGGTATTTAAATGTAATTACTATGTAAAAATACAATAGAATGATTTATTTAGTTTAATTCTTATATTTATCTTGCTTTTGCGATACAACTTACTTTCACTTAAATTTGTCCAATTTATTATAAAGCAAAATTCGATATATGTGTATCTCTCAAAAACAAATTAATAAATTGCTTAATAACGAATTAGTCTCCTCTAATTACATATGTATGTATACGGCTAGTTATTTAATATTTTTTTATTTTAAAAGATAATATATTTAACACTATGCAAATGTAAGATGAGATAAATACGTACAAATGGTTTGGCACATCAAGCACGTCAAGCGCCAGAACTGTTCTGTTACTGACATCAGGCTAAAATAGCAAATAACTTAGAAATTCCATTATTAACTCGGACATGGCGTTGCATCTTGCTTTATAAAGAATGGAGAGTGTGGAATGTTCAAACGACTGCAGTTTCTAGTGTGATATTTTCACTGAGCTTTTTGCTGTCACATATATGTTTAGAAAGCCATCAGTCAGGGGTCCGGCGGCGTCTTCAAACATCCATACTGCCCCACTTGATTGATGTCGCTAAAATGAACTTGATATTAATAGATATTGATTGTATAAGTAAATAGAAAGTTATGAATCTTACGTCACTTCGACTGTCTCTTTTTATTAGGTTGGTGCGTATGAAATGTCGGATTCTTAAGTGATTGTATAAAACTGCATATCTTTCTTCGAAAGCTGTTTATTTAATCAAAGTATGCTCCATTCGTTCAATACACTTCTCCCAACGAGATTTTAAAGCGTAGATGAGTGTCTTAAAAAAAATTTGGTCTTTAGAATTAATATACTCTGATATCGAGTTTTTTAGACTGTCTTCATTTTCATTGTGTTTGCCCCTTAAAAACAGCTCTAAATGCTTGAAAAAATGAAAATCGGTCGGCGAGAGATCCGGTGAATATGGTGGATGCTGCAAAACTTCATATTCCCGTTCGTTCAGTTTCGCAATTGTTTTGTGCGATGTATGCGGCCGAGCGTTGCACCCACTTGTCCATCTTCTTAACCTTGCCAATCTCAGAAAGGTGTCTCAATATCTTTGTATGGTCAACTTTTATCCTGATAGCAAGTTCCTTCGTGGATACGGCTGGATCCGCTTCCACTAGAGCCTTCAGGTCATCATTCTTCACAGACGTTTTGGGTCTTCCGCGCGGCTCATTTTGCAGTGACAAATCGCCAGTCCGAAATTTTTTGAACCAACGCGGCACTTTCCGATCGTTAATTGTATTCTCCACAAACGCTTGGTTTATGTTGCGTGCAGCTTTTGTAGCAGTATTACGAAGTTTGTACTCATATAAGAAAATGACTCGAATGTAAGAATTCATTTAGGCAATAAACTCAAAAGAAATAACAAAAGGGAAGACCTTCGAGAAAACCTATTTTGCTGAAATGAGTCTCTGGCAATGGATAATACGACTGTGAATGAGGTTATGCCAAAAAAAAAGTATAACGAAAACAGGGAGACAAACGTCCGTATGTAAAGAGAATCCGACATTTCATACGCACCAACCTAATAAATTATAATATTACTAATACCATAAAATGGTTACTTGAAAGTCAACATTTTAAAGGACGAAATATGATAATTCATAAATAATGTCCTCTTATAATTTGGACACACAAGATAACAGTTTCCCTTGTTATGCATCCTAAGGGGTTTGCGATGGCGCAATAAATTTCAGATATCACGATGCTACATTAGAGATTGTCACCAATGCCAATAAACATTCGCTCTAATTTTAAACCGTTTACCGCTACTTGACGTATCCGATAGATGTATGGAACAGATTCATGACCCACTATTGTAATAACACATATATACAACCATTAGCTTTATTAGTAAATAATATAATGTAACACTGTTTCATTGCTAATTGACTATAGGGAGATGAATGTTTCGATAAATATGTTTCAAGTGATATTACATAAGTACATTTAACTAAAGTTTTATGGTAATAAAACATAACGATAGCTTAATATATGTATACTCGTATGATAGCTGCTTACAACTAATGAGATGCTTTATTTATATATTCTGAAGTCAAGTTATATAGTTCCGGACTCACGTTTCATTTTTTTAAATACATATCTGCTATTTGTTTAATTTTAATCCAACGTCCTTTTCTTTCAATTGCCCCATAAACATTAATAAGACAATTTCAGAACAGATCTCATATAAATATGTAATTCAATACATCTGACTGTCTATTTATAAATAATTATGATTTAAATTTTAACTCTAGGATGGCTTAAGTAAGTCTACATTTATAGAAAAGCAATTGTGTATTCGTAAAACAAAAATAACTTTGATGTGGTTTTTATGAATAATAAAAAACTTTTATTAACCGTTCATTTCAAACGCGGCAACGGCTTTATTTTCTTAATGTTTTACAGTGTGGATCGGAGGACGTAAAACGCCATCGGTGGTTCAAACATATCGACTGGGCTGACGTTTTTATGAAGAAATTGCAGGTAACTTTATAGAATTTGAGATAAACTAAAGAAATAAACTTTCTTACACCAATTTATTACATTTGTATCTAATTTAATTACTTTATTTTGGAATATTTGTTTTATTTTAAAGCTCTGTGCTGTTTGTTTGGTTGTAAACTTAAACTTGTAACGTTTGGTTTCAAAAATTAGTTTGCTGATGATCATCTCTTGATATTCTTTGGAAGCATTTTCAAGATTTATTTTCAATATAAAATATATTAAAGTCGTGTCCTATTGAGATTTTGAAAGCGAAATTGGTGTTGTCGTTTTTGTTACTCAATAAAGTAAAAAGAAATGTTTTTGATGAGGCTTTGTTTAATATACTTTTACTCAGTAGAGTGTTAAGAATTTATAGACTAAACTTCTTCTACAAACTTATTAAATCCAAGAACTAAACTGTCAATTTCCAACACACCAAAAATATAGTTAAAAATTATGATGTTTTAATATAATATTTCTTTTCACAGCCACCAATCGTACCTTCTGTCTCATATGAAGGAGACACTTCAAACTTCGACGAGTATCCAGAGACTGACTGGAAAGCCGTTCGTTCCCTCGATCCTGAAGAACTCAAGCTGTTCGCCAATTTTTGATGAGAAACTTATATACTTAGGACTGCCATTATATTAAAAAAAGAACGAAAGAAAGTTTCCATGTATTAATGAGCACTGATAACAACCAATTACTTCCACTGAAAATACTGAGAAGTTAATCTTGTTAAATTTATTAATACATGTGTCCTTTCTGTCCTATTTGATTTTTCGATTCATTCGTGTTTAGGCGATTAATTTTTAGCATAGTTTGATAGAACGGTATAAAAAAATACAAGAGTATTAAAATAATTATATGTGCTATATGTGAATCATATTGTAAATAGTAGATTAAAAAGAATTCAGATTACATTAATCAACTGCTTCGTTTGTTTTAACAGACACATTACTAGTGCATGAAAAATAATTAATTTATTATTAAATATAGTTTTTATTATAACACTTTATGTTGACAGTGAAGTATATTGCACATTTTAGAATATTGCATAAGTTATGCACAAAGACTTAAGGAAGTGTGATGTTATTGCGAAACCTTTTCATACTAAATAATCTGACTGGCACCATGTCATTGGAGTTTAATATGTATTAATAGGCTGTTAAAATAAATCAAATAATAAACGTGTTTAGATAATAACAAATACATAGATGCTTAGGAATAGCTTATGTAATTATTGTTTAGCATTTTTTTATCGTGAACACATTATTTGTTTTGTTGCTTATTTTATTTGCTTTTTATTGTAATAGCATTGAAGATTTTAAAATAAATTATTACATGACCTTTAGAGGCATTAAATTATTGTCATTCCAGATCAATTTTTCTTGCTTCTATTTACAATGAAAATTATGTACAATTTGTGTATTTGTAGGTTTGTAGGAAAATAAATTTATCAACAGGCATTCATTAAAAATTATAAAACATTTTGTTGCTAAATCACTGTGAACTAGTATTTAGTTTTAAATATGATTGAAATATGAAATAATATTAAATCTAACTTATCAGTGTATCTCATGTAGGTTCACTAGTTTCGCTATAGGCTTGATTTAATTGTGTTTAATATTGTTAAATCGTGGTATTTTATATAAAGACATTTAATTTCTCATCCAAAGATTTTTTGTTCTGTTTCTAATGTTTAGATGACGTGATTTTATTTTTAATATTAATATTTAGACGTGTATAAAAATCAATAGATGTAAATGAGAATTGAAGAAAGTGAAATTAATAAATGAACATTAATAACACTTCCGATTTTTGCCAAGAAAACTTTCACCCTAATTTAATAACATTGAAATATAAATATGTGTCTTATTGTAATAAGTAAAAGTATATATTTCATTTAATAGTATCAAGAATTGTATCTTTTAAATAGAAACTGTATGTATGAGCCTACTTCATGATCTCCCCATCAACGACCTATGAATGGTTAGTGGCTGATAATAGTATCCCATCTAGTTCAATATTGTATATTGTAACTAAATGACAATTAATTTTATATTATTACAGGGTTTGAAAATTGTAAATAGGTTTCTTAAAATAAATAAAATAATTTACAAAATGATTTGAATTATTGCACCTCCTTACACTATTATAAGGACAATTTATTAATTAAAAGAATTAAGAGTATGTTGTGTTAAGCATTAGAAGACTAATCTTCTATCTGGTAATTTCCCGGCTTTAGCCAGGGCCTGCCTTACATGTGATGAATAGTTTTTTACGACCGGCCGCCTGCCTGACATCAACCCTCTTTGGGAATGCATTAATAAGTGATGTCTAAATACTCTTAGAAAGTACGTATGACTAAAAAAAGTCACATTGGTATTTGCCCGGGCCAGGATCGAACCGAACCCGCGCCCTCGTGCATGATAAGCGGGTCTTTTAACTACTAGGCCACCACTGACTTATGTTAAGCATTAGTGTGGTGTATTAAACTAACATACATGCAAAGTATTCTAATACACTGCTAAAAGTTTTGAGGAAGGAAGAACAACGAAAGGATATTGATCAACCTTTCATCCATTGCAGACTGTCCGATTATAAATTTAGAATGCAGGAAATCAAGCTTGCAAGCTTTGTACTTGCAAACATTGTAGGCTTTGGTTTAAAATTACGATTCCAAAGTTTAACAATCCGTTTTGGATGTCTGTCCAAGGTTGAATTGGGGTGACATTTGGAAGCTCCTGCCCAAATGTTATAGCAGTAATCAACTGGAGCGGAACTGTGTTTGTATAAACAACGGAGCTGTTCCTTCGTACAGTACCGCCATAGTTGTCATTGATGTGCACTTGTTTTAATTGAAATATTATACATATATCTACGGTCCACATAGCACATATTGTGCCATGTTATTATGTCAAATAATGGATTGAAGTTATATGTATTTTCAAAAAAAACTTTTATTAATGTTTTTAATGATAGGTTTTTAATAACAGGTTCATATTTCTTTGTTAATTTTTGTTTTTTCATCTGTAGGTTTATTGAAGAAACAATAAGAATACCAAATTAGCATTCATACTTGTAGCAACTCCTTCAATTGTGGCCCGTAAAATAATGTTTTCTGCACTGAATTGATCTTTTTTGAGATAAAAATTTGTAATTCCTTTACATCAATTGTACAGATATTTTTGTATTTGTTGTAAACAAATGATATTTCTGTATCCTTAATTAAAGGAATTCATTTTATCTAGAAAACAGTTTTACATGTCACATGAAATTAATTTCATGATTGTCGTTAAGTTTTATTTGTTTAATATAATTAACTTCAAATAGTTTATTAACTTATAATTATGTATTAATAATAGTTAAAATAAATGATTTAAATATATAATTCCATATTTATTTAAATTATTATATTAAAAATATAAAGCACTTTGTCGGTATTATTATTATCAGGTGCTAATCGTAATGCAAGGTTTGTTCAATATTTGATAAGTTAGTTCCTATCTTGTTTCTATGATAGCACATAATCTTTTTGACATGGACTTTGGGTATATTTTTATGTTCAACGTTTTTATTATTAAATTTCCTTTTAGCTATTGGTCGCCATCTTCAATATTAAACAATGTCTGATTAACAGTAATGATAACAATTAGTTTCAATAGACGTGTCATGGACATCAAATTGATATAATCAAAGCTTGATTTCTCTTGTTGCTTGAGTGTTAGTATTTAAAGGAATTTTGACGCTATATCATGCCTCTACGACAATTGTGTCCCGAATTAGCCGAAAAGGCTAAATTGGAATTAAATGAAGATCCAAAAACTATTGAGACCGACATACAACATATAAAGGATTGGTTGGCTAAACAACCACACTTGAAAGTTAGAACAGGTAAAGTAAAAAAATTAGTATCTTTCTGTATGTCTTTGTGGGTGCATTATAATTTTTTAAGTATTTTTTTTGTTATCTAAATAGGTGTTATAAATAGTGTTAATATACTTTTCTTAAAATTGTATAAAGAAAGTTGAGGATTTGTATTATCAAGGAAGTAATGTTATTTTTAGAAATGTTCACAGTAATTAAGCTTGCAGTAGAAAATAGTTTATCCTATTAATATTTTCAAGCGCTCATGTAGAAACAGTTAGATATGTTATGGAGTTACTATTTTATATAAAAGACTACTTCATGAATTTTAACAAAACTTACAAGATGATAGCCCAGATATTAGTTTAACAAATAGGCTAAAATAATTCATGTCTAGATTATAATTTTCATGACAAAGAACTTCAGACCGCGTTACTGGTCGATTACAATATCTATATTTCTGGGTATACATATTTTGTTTCCGTAGTTTAAGTGGCTGCAGTTAATTAAAGTATTACACGGGATGTTTGTTGAATTTACAGATGATCAATGGTTGCTTGCTTTTATAAGAGGATGTAAGCACAGCCTCGAAAGAACTAAAGAGAAGTTGGATCTGTTTTATACATTACGAACAGTTGCACCAGAAATTTATAAAGTAAAGCATAATGATCCTCTATTCAATACAATTATGGATTTCGGGTACGTTCGTTTGTAATAATATTTATTAGGAACTGTAACTTGTTTTATAACAACCTTTTCCATATTTTTATTAAATACTACGGCTATTACACTCACTAAATAGTAAATACTATTAATTCATATAATATTCCTATTTATATTACTTATTGGATTATTATATCTCTCGTATAAGTTACCTTTAATTTCGAATAGTATCTTTATTTGCTTATTTAGTGTATATTTATTTGCTCTTGATTTAGAAGTATTTTTTTAGACGATTCACTATTCTTATACAACTTTCTAAGAGATTTATTTTAATATTTCAGGAGTTACTTGATATTGCCAAAGTTGGAAAAACCAGATTCACCTCGGATTGCTCTTATTCGGCCTGCAATGTACGATCCAAATAAATATTCTTTTTTCGACATATTCTCTTCTGGTGCTATATTTCAAAATGTAGGTATCATAAAAAATATGGTTTTGTATATCTAGTCGTTTTTACAAAAGTACATATATCTTAATGCTGCTACTTCTTGATTTCTAATTTACATAGTCTCAGTCTTTTAAAGAGATAAAAGATTGAATCAATTGAAAAGTTTCGCACTGGGCGCCGTAGACGCACTGGGCGCCGTAGGGTGACCGATTTCCGGCCACCGTAGAGCGCGGCCTGTGGACGACAGGTTCGGGGCACCTGTCGTCCGAAAACAGCCACAGGCTTCGAGGGGGAGGCGTGTAATCCGCGCGCGCCTCAAAGTTTGAGGTCCAAAGCCGGGTGACGGGGCCCGCCTGACCATCTGGCGGGTCAATGCCTGTCGGGGAGGTAGCGACGAATGCTTCGGCGATACCCGCCTCTCCGGCACACGGGTAGATGAGGCACACGGGTTGGTTTTTAGTCAGTAGGAGTCTGACAGTCCCCTCCGTCCTTCCCCGAGGGCGGCGGGGCTCCATGAAGGATTTTCCAACCTGACACCAAAAAAAAAAAAAAAATTGAAAAGTTTATTATATACGAAAAACATTACTAAAGATACAATTATATTCAATGGAATTCACAGGAAATTTAGAAAAAAATTCACAGGAATTCAGTTTTAAATTTTGAAGAGAATTTTTAATTTTTATTTGACCTTTCTAAAATAGTGAGATCTTTTTAAACCTTTATATTAAAATATGCTAGAAATTATATTTAAAAACTAGACTTACGACGTTATTCATTGATATTAAAAAAACATTTTATTTAAAATCAAAATATATACAGTTTCAAGACTTTCAGAATTTCAAGACCAAAAGTATTTTGATACGACCAGATTGAACTTTTAATCAAAATTATTTGATAATTTTGGAAATATTGTTGGCAAAAATTAATTACTATTTATTTTTTCTATTCAATTTTATACTTATAAAAAAAGTGATACAAGTAACTTCTGACCCAAAATATTTCACTTAAAATAACAACTTTGCAAAATTAACAAGAGATTATTTTTGTTATTCAGATTCTGATGTACGAAGATGATGCCATTGTTATATCCGGGCTTACAACCCTTATAGACTTAGAGGGTGTAACAATGGGACATTTGTTGCAAATCACACCGAGTGTTATGAAGAAGATGGTCGTTTACACTCAGGTATTCATGTATTAGAGGTGATAAATTTTACATAGAAAAAGTATTATAACTTTGCGTTTAAAATGATTTGTCTGTTTTTCATTATATATAATACTTTACTGACTATTCTCATGTATGGATTTTGACGAATTTTCTTGAGTTTTAAAAATTAATTATAAGATTATTTTTTTATAGCAAAAAATTCTAAATTATTTTTTTACCAGCTCAATCACAAATTATTCCAGTTTAGAGTTTTAATACTAACTGGTATAATAAAATATGTAACATAAGTTTAGTGGTTTGTATTTTAGTGTAATTTTATGTTCACAAAAATATATAATATTTGTAATTAATTCTTTTTCTAGGATGCTCTACCAATCCGTATGAAAGGCATTCACTATATTAACACTCCCCCAGGCTTCGAAACGATATTCAACGCAATTAAGTTATTGCTTAATGAGAAGAATAGGAACAGGGTAAATATTTCATTCTGGAATGTAATGTAAAAGTTTCTTTATTTCAAATCAAGCATGTTAATTGTTTAAAATTATCAATGAATATATTTATAATAAGTAATTTCATATGATCAGTAATAATAAGTGTAAGTTTTTTTATGTTAAAATGGAATTTTAACAATTCCTTTAGATCGACGAATGTAGCAGATAACCTCTGACAGGATTAATCAATAAAGATTAAAGACATCTTTTCAATTTCAGTTGTATGTACACAACAAAAATTATAACGAATTGTACAAACACATATCACAGGAGGTTTTACCAGCGGAATACGGAGGAAAAGGTGGCAGCATACAGGAAATTAAGGGTACTTATTACATATATTTCAGTTTAGAATTCATTTATACGTAATTTCATTTATACATTAATACGTAAAGTATTTCTTAAAATTGTTATTGTTTTATTTTTGTAGGATATTGGAAGAGTAAAATAGAAGAATGCAGTTTATATTTGGAAGAAGATCTTACGAATGGAACGGATGAATCAAAACGTCCCGGGAAACCAAACACATCTGAAAGCTTATTCGGTCTGGAAGGATCTTTCCGTCAGTTACAATTTGACTAGACAGAAAAATTGGTTCTACCGTGTAGGTACTAAATTTGTATGAAAATAATTAAACGATGTGATTATAATTCTGAATTTTATATAAAAAAAGACATAAACCCTTCTGGAATATCCTAAAACTTTACATAAATATATGACATGACATCACAGTTCAACAGTTTTGGTAGGCTACAAATAGAAGTACATCGCTTGTAAAAAAAATAAGTGCAGTAAATTTTTAAAAGAGTATCAGTTTGATTTGATATTCTGAAGTTTAATAATTGACACTTATTTAACTATGATGAATAATATAAACACAGGCAATTTGTAAATAAAACTTAAAACCATGTTGTTTTCTCACAATTGGTCAAGTAACATTTATTAATTGACATTACAAAATAAAATCAAAAAACTAAAGTATATTTTCACAATTATTTAAAAACTTCGTACTATAATGTTCTTAGGCCATTGATTAGTAAATTCATTGTCGATTTAATATTTTCAGACTTTGTTATTTCATTTACTAACACCAATAAGTATATTTAAAAATGAAATTAATTATAATATTTTGTCAAAAATTAATTCATATACTCGTATGTATCAAATATTTCTTTCTGGATTTAATTTACTTGCATATTCTGTATAAATCATAACTTCTTTATAAAGTATCACTTAACAGTTTTTATCGAGGTCGGAACATTTTATCAATATTTATATATATATATCTATGATAAAAGTGTGTAATCAACTCATATTAATATTTTTTTACAATTGCTTGATTATCAATCCACCAAGTGTAGTGACACTTATAGGAACACTGTCCTAAGAATAAAAAATATGAGTTTACGACCATTGTGTCCAGAGTTAGCCAAAAAGGCGAAGGAGGAGTTAAATGAAGATCCGAAAAATATTCAACGCGACCTACAACATATTAAGGATTGGTTATCCAAGCAACCTCATTTAAAGGCTAGACTAGGTAAGACGATCTGTATATCTATAATTTTAATGTAAATAAAGGAATCTATATTTTTAATGTAAATAAAGTACATTCAGAGAAAGTAATCTGTTTTTAAAGGAACTTTGAAATGAAACAAGATTGTTAATTTGATTTTGATAAACTAGTGCTAATAAATAAATATAATTTTTCATACATATATTTTAGTTTGTATTATGGACTATAATTTTAACGGTCTATTTTTTAAAAAAATATTACTGTAAGCTTGCATGCCATTAAAGGTAAAATAAACAATTGTTTCATAAAATCCTTCAAAAAATATAACTTTTATAATCGCTTAATAAACGACTGATAACTATGTATACTGGTAACCGATATTGATCCTGTTTTGATCGTTTTTTTGAGAATATAAAGACTAGCCTTGATAACTAAAATGCGGTACTTAAATATGTGTGTGACTACAGCCTCAAAGAGACTTTTTATACAGACGGGAATCAAAATGAACATATGTAGAAAATTGTTATATAACCCCAAAAAGGACAACCCAATAGAAATTTTCAAAAAAGGTTTGAGCAAAAATGGAAACCAGTTGCTTAATACATATCACTCCTATTTGCGACCTTTCTTGTCTTAATTGGAAGAGTTGACGAGGGAGAAGGTTCGTGATCTTCAGATTAAAATATAATAAAAAAATACAAGGGCAGATGTCTTGTTACATAATTTTTATCGTGTTGTTAATTTATTATTTCTAAATCTCTGCTTTTATTGATATTTATTAAATATTATGCCAGTGTGGTACTTTGTCATCATCTTGGTTATAAGGTTTATTTTGCTGCAATATCCATAATTTAGATAAGATCCATAATTTAGAGTTTTAGTATTACAAAATAAGTGAAGGTGCATAGTAAATTAAGTACGATTTACAAAAATAATTTAACAGATAAAGCAAAATGAAATTCATTAGTAACAAATATGACACTGTTTTGTTTTTTTTTCGTTAGCCACTGTTACTGTAGAATATTATTTATTCGACAGTGTTTATGTAATATAATGGAGAAAATAATTATCACTGATAATTTGACATTTGAAAGTATTAACAAAGTTAAAGCTTAACGTAAAAAAAGGTTTAACTATAGAAATTGTTTTCAGTTTATTGTAGCTTTACACATATATTTGTTTATCTTGTATGAAGATGTATGAACGATATTCTATACATTTTGTAGTGCAGTAAGCTCAAGTCAAAACAGGGAACTCTCTATTGGGATGTAACATTTAGAAACAGGTTAAAATTTTTCAACAGCACTAAAATTTGTTATTATTTTAATTTATTGTTAGAAAATAAATTTTATTTTAAAGATGATCAATGGCTCGTCGCTTTTTTGAGAGGATGCAAGTACAGTCTAGAGCGCACGAAAGAAAAATTGGACCTTTATTATTCTATGAGGTCGTTGGCGCCAGAACTATTTAGAGTAAAGGCGACTGATTCTGCTTTTGATGAATTAATCAGTTTGGGGTAATAAGAAAATAACATGATGCTTCCTTTTATTTTATGGTGTCAAAATTATGTTAAAATTATATTTTTTTGTTATAAGAACTTATCTGATACTGCCGAAAACCGCTACTCCTGATTCACCGAGGATTATCATCATTCGAGCTGGTAGTTATGATCCTGCTAAATACAACTTTATCGATATATTCTCTGCTACTTCACACATACAGAAGGTATTTTATCTTAATATTGAGGCATTTGAGTAAATCGATTATAAAATGTTGAGACTTTGTGAATTACGAGGAGTGTAAATTTATGAAGTAATTTTTTTCTTAGATTCTTATTTCCGAAGATGACGCAACTATTGTATCTGGTTTTAAAACAATTATGGACATGGAAGGCATCACTCTCGCACACTTAATGCAAATCACGCCCAGCATTATGAAGAAGATGGCTGTTCTTTCACAGGTAACCTTTCGCACATACAGTTCTTCTGAAGAAATTCTTTTTCCTAAAATAGTTCAGTACTTAAGAAATCATATTTAGGTTTTTATACTTAAAATATTTTTATTTTCCCTATTTTTTCATACCCGATCTGTGAAATGATGCTGTATATACTTACGAAATATCTGTTAGGTTGAAAATTAATCTACTGAATTCTTAAATTTCAGGACGCCTGGCCACTACGTATGAAAGGAGCACATTACATTAATACGCCGTCATGGTTTGATAACTTTTTCAACATGGTTAAAACTTTGTTAAATGAAAAAAATAGACAACGTGTAAGACTTTCTTTTTATTTAACTTTCAATAAGTAACAGTTATCGCAAAAGAGAAGTTAATTATATAATTAATTTTTGTTAGTATGTAATTAAATTATAGTTTTTATAATTGAAAAGGAATAAGTGCATTTACTTTAATATCTATACTTCATCTAAATATTTTTAGCTTTACGTCCATAATAACAATTTCGAAGAATTATACAAACATATTCCTAAGGAAATATTACCAAATGAATACGGTGGAAATGGTGGTAGTATTAAGGAGATTACAGGTTTTATATTTTTCCTTGAGCCATGATTCTTGATTTTTATATTATTAATAAATATATATTGACATGATTTTATTGTTTTGTAGAATATTGGAAGGCCAAGGTTCAAGAGTATAGCTCGTGGTTGGAAGATGATTTAAAATACGGATCGGATGAATCAAAGCGCGTGGGAAAACCAAGGACGGCTGAGACATTATTTGGAGTCGAGGGTTCATTCAGACAACTGGAGTTTGATTAATGAAATAAAATTTCATTGTTATTATGATTCTAAATAATATTTTTCAACTTGTTACAAAATTTCAATATACACATAATCGAAAGCAAAAGAATGGATTCAAAATTGTCGTCAATTACCATTTTATTACTGAAGGTTAATCAACGATAAACTTTCGCACTTTCAATAAAAGCTCCGTACTTTAAAAGTAGCTTTCTGGCTTAATTAATCACGGAGGGTAGTTCCATAACGTAACTTAAATAAAGTTTTGTAATATAATATATAGCACATGTATTGCAATATACTCAAAATAAATCAAACGAGGTTGAGGGTGTTGTAAAAATAAAGGCAAGGTTTAATTTTCAAATACTCGTACGTACACGTAATACTAGCACTATGGTATGTACATATCCTGATTTATCTTGAGAGGGTTATATTAAATATATTCAACAAATTTGAAACTAATATGCCCTTAGAATTTAAAAAAAAACTTAAAAAAATTAATATTCGTGGTTAATAAACATTTTATCAACAAATTTGTGAGAATGAGAAACAACCACGTATAAATGTAATTTATATCTGATAAGTACATCAAGAAATGGTCCGACATTATTTGTTAATTTGTTCCATAATGATCGATTTAAAATAACTTAATAATAAAAGTACTTCAATATAATCACACATTAAATTAATTTTAATCGTATCCAACTGACTGTTATCTCTTATAAAACTGATAAAAGTAATCAGTTACGTGGATTAAAAATTGATTTAGTGTTGTATTTCTCTTCGTACACTTAAGTTGGTAATATAAGTTGAAGGTACAGCTATGTCTATACGACCATTGTGTCCAGAGTTGGCTAAAAAGGCCCGAGAGGAATTAAACGAAGATGCAAAAACAATTGAAAATGATCTTCGAGCCATTAAAGATTGGTTGTCCAAACAACCACATTTAAGAGCAAGAACAGGTATTGTTATGATATATTTTCTTTGTCTTCTGTATTACTTAAACTTATTCTTTCATTCTCTTTTACATTCTAATAAATTTTAATCATAATATATCGAATATAAACTTGGGTGGATACAAAGATATTAGCAAACAATTAAGATATTTATAACAAAGTAAAAATATATATTATTATATTAAGGTTTTATGCAACTTAGACAGATTTTATTTCCTTACGTTGTACCTCAGTTCCTCATCTGAACTTAACAATACTTTTTGATAGGTACTATTATATGAACTCACAATTCTTTAGATAGTATTATTCTGGTCTTGATGGCCTACACACTACATTTACTTATATTACCAAAACCTAGTATCAGTACGTCTAACACAAGTTTTAACTTTCGAACTACATTTAAGTTTAATATTAAATAATCGTTTGTTAATAAGATAGTGTTCGAAGTATTATTATCAATGATAAAATGTTTGCGCTACGAATGCAGAGTGACGATGCAAAACTTAAGGTTAAGTCTAACAGCAGTAATCTAAATAAAAAAAACCTTGGGCTCACGTACTGAAAAATAGAATATAATAACTTCGACATTCAGCGGTTTTGTGTGGATGTTTAGAAAACCCTATATATTTACATACAGATTTGATGAAATAAAAGATACAAATGACGATATCAACTAAATGTTAGGATTTTTACGTTTCGCTGTTTTTTAAACCTTCCTTCATTTTATAGCAAAATTAATTCAATGGACAGACAAAAATGTACTTGATTTTGTAATTTATTTAATTGTAATTAATACATTTTTGGAAAAAGTGCAAGGACAAGGCTAGTAGGTTCTTTTATATACGCAACGTATATTGTGGTTCATTATATTTATTATGTGTTCTGTATGGAATTTGTATGTGTTTTCCTTTTCAATCCACTAACTTATAAAACACATATAAATCATTCTAATTTACAGATGATCAGTGGCTAGTGGCGTTTTTAAGAGGATGTAAGTACAGCTTAGAGCGGACGAAAGAAAAGTTGGACCTTTATTACTCAATGAGATCTTTGGCACCAGAACTTTTTAGACTCAAGGCTTCGGATCCACTTTTCAATGAAATCATGGATTTAGGGTAATAAAAAAATTATAAATATTTTATTATAAAATGTACACAAAGTGTATTACGTATTAAGATACTTTATAAATTAATTTTTCAATAATTAGGACGTATGTTACTCTCTTGAAAACCGCAACACCTGACTCACCAAGAATTATAATAATCCGGGCTGGAAGTTATGATCCCGCTAAATATAACTTCCTCGACATATTTTCTGCAGCGTCTATTATACAGCGCGTACGTAATACTAGTTAAAGAACGTATTATCTGACATATGTACATTATTTGTATATGGTATTTTAAACTATTTGATTAACTTTTTTTTCTTTTATATCCAATTAGATCCTTATATACGAAGATGACGCGACTATTATCTCAGGTTTTAGAACAATTATGGATATGGAAGGGGTCACCCTTGCACATTGGTTACAAATAACACCGAGTTCTATGAAGAAGATGGCTGTTCTTTCTCAGGTAGTCTATTAAAATTACAATCAGAAATGTCTTAATGAATAAATGTAAGATTGTTTTTTACTTACTAAAAATTTTATTTTGCAGGACGCGGGACCAGTACGTATGAAAGGAACACATTATATCAATACACCTCCAGGATTCGAAAATGTTTTTGCCATTATTAAAAATGTGCTTAACGAGAAAAACAGAAGCAGGGTAAACATTTCATATCTCGTTCTTTTATCTTTTATAAATTTTCTAATCAAACAATTTTAAAAATTATTATTTTTTTATATTTTCAGCTTTACGTTCATAACAAAAATTTTGAAGAATTATACAAACATGTCCCACAGGAAATATTACCAAAGGAATACGGCGGAAATGGTGGTAGTATTAAGGAGATCACAGGTTTTTATATACTAGTTTATTAGGAAACATGACTCTTTATTTTTATATTATTAATATCATTTATATTGACATGACTTTATTGTTCTACAGAATATTGGAAGGCCAAGGTTCAAGAGTATAGCTCGTGGTTGGAGGATGATTTAAAATACGGATCGGATGAATCAAAGCGAGTGGGAAAACCAAGGACGGCTGAGACATTATTTGGAGTCGAGGGTTCATTCAGACAACTGGAGTTTGATTAATTTATATTTTTATTGCATTTACCAGGGATGGAAAATATTGAATTTTAAATTTTTCGGTTGTGTACTTATATTTTTTTTGTTAAAGGTAGCTACAAATAAAAAACTTGCATAAATAAAATGTTGTTCATTTGTTTTGTTTCAAGTCATGTTTTCATAAATTTAATTTTGAAGCACTTCTCATTGATAGTTGACAAATTTTATTTTATAATTTAATTTATTATGTCTGAGGTCGTTTGTACCGATTTAATAAAATCCTTCGAACAAAAACATTTATTCAAGTTGTTGAAAGACCTTATTACGAAGTTTACGGTATCATTTGTTGCGAAAAAAACTATCACTGGTTTTATAATCTATCTTAGATGTATGTGGTTATCGCCGCCCATGAATTCTTGTGGAGGCTCTGCGTTGCCGGTCTTTCAGAAAGAGGTCTTTTTAATTCATACTGAATCGAAAATAGGCAGCTGATTTCACAGGGTGGTGGTGAGTGGCAGAAAATACTTTTTAGAAGCGCTCTGTGGTTGACTGCCAGCTATCAAGCTGGTGCTGAAATTCAGATGCAGGTAATAGCCCGAAGAGCTTCTCAGGGTACTCCCCATAGTTAAAGCGATAAAAGACGATAAAAGAAGCAACGTCTCATCATAGGGCTAGAGTATCAAGTTGATCGGAAAGATCTGTATAGTCAACCATTGAGTGGCACGATATTGAATTCAAATGGAAGAAGTTCGCATATTATATTTTTCAATATATATGGTTTCTATCAATATGCTTAGTGTAAATACCCATTTTTCCCATAATTCCCATTTTTCCCAATTTTCATTCAATAACTTACATTGATACTATTATCGGTAAGTATTTATAAATGAAGAACTGGTCATTTTAGGATGTTTTGGGACAATCAAAACTTAAAGTAAGCCTAGCTGGTAAAATTTATTTAGAGTCACATTTTTGTTCTTGTTTATTTGAAATAAATTACAAAAAAGGGTAATTGTACGGACGCTTTTTTCCATAACATGGATTTTATACGTAGATAGGCCAGTGACAATTTTTTTGTTTTATTTAGCTATATCTACCATAAAATAATCCTATGTCATATGTGACAAATCTTTCATACTATTATTATTTCGATACAATATGGTCAGATGTTGGAATTGCGGTCAAAATTTGTTAATAATTTCAGGTGGATTATGATTTGTATTTGAAATGCAGTAAAATATAATAATATAATATTATTCATTGATACACAGACGTAATAATTATTATTTTAAAAACTATAACTACAGTTCTCGGTAACATACATTTTACAAATAACATTGAGAAATTTTTATTAAGAAAACATTTTTAACAATTTAATATATGTATATAACGCCTCCTAAGTTAGTGTAGCAATGACGCCAGAACGAATTACCTCAATATAATATAATAAATTATTGTGACTTTGACAGTCAAAAACAGAGATCGGAGCTCCAACAAAGTTGTGTAAGTTGTTTATCAATCACGTAAAAGTTAATGTGCATTCACAAGATTAATTAATGTCAATAAATTTAATTTTCTGATAACAGCTCATATTTGTTGTGTTACAAAAAAAGCATTGATAAGGTATCTATATAAATTTTTGTCATTTACAATAAGAATAGCCTAACCTCAAAGTGAAATCAGTTGTTTGTTTTATTATATACTTTAATGAGGCATAAATATTATTTTAAACAAATTTAATTCGAAACAATGGATATTAAGAACATGTATGTACATATAATGATGAGTGAAGTGATTTATAAAATTCTAAAGCACAGTAATACTAATCTATCAATGAAAACAATAATTTTATCACAACAATTAAAAGTTTTTTTTTTATTGAAGTGTAGTTTTAAAGTAATTTCAAGCATCCCGATATTGTCTTTCAAATCATAAATATACCTCATTCTTGCTGCTCAATTAATGTATGAGAAAAATTAACACCTGAGCTAGATGTAGGTACATCCGTGATCCGATGTAATATTCGGTCGCCAGTGTCACCTCACGTTGTTCGTTTCTGTTGGTTCTACGTCACCAAGTCACCGTCGGTTCACATTGTTTAAAGAAATGTTATAAGTGTATTATTTTATCTCGTCAGTCCTGTTTTTTTTTTGAAATTATTTTAAACTAAGGATACTCTTAATAAATGAAATGTATTTGGGCTTGTTTGAAAAATAATTTTCAGTTATCTGTTAAATTTCCTAATCAATTAATTACATACTAAGCAGAGATAGGATGTTATATTTTTTGTAAAAAAATACGTATTTAATTAACCATAATTAAGAGTATTTTTATTATTTTATTAACTATAATTCTTTAAAGTTATCATTTGCTATTAACCTCGTGCGCAGATTGCAATAATACATTGTTTATTATAAATCTAATAAATTGTTCTAATTAACAGTTTTAAAGTTGAACTCTGTCAAAAGGCCAACTGTAACCTTAAACCTCATTATCTAATCATCAGACACTTCTATGTGGTTTATTGAAACAAATTAATGACCAATTACTACTAATATTATTTTTTAGTTAAAATGTTTCGTTCGATATAAATCAGAGCTACGTTAGATACTTAAAATAATAGATAAGATAGTTTTAGCACAGATGTTCTTTATATAATGTTATATCTGATAGTTTGTTGTTTTTTTATAAAATACAGGTGGCCGATGAATTTTAATAAAGATTTTATGTAGATGATAGATATTTATTTTATTTAAATTTACTAATTGAAATTGGCTAATTCTCACGTAATTATCTGCAGTACTTATTTGTTTATTACTATTCAAAATGTACATACTCATTTGAATATTCTTTTTTAATATTCTATCCATATGACATCTGTGGTTTTTTTACAAAATTGTTTACCATACTCCTTTAAATAAATCTACAAATATTGAATGGAGACGTCAAATGTGTAAATTTTATTTATTTCAATGATACGACGCTCAAGTGTTTTTTTTCTTAATTAATATTTATTTGTAAAAAATCTGTCATTGAAATTAATATTCTAATTTAATTTTTGACCTAATTTCATAACATAAAAATTTACTTAACATTTATTAGTTTTTGATTCTGAATATTTCTGTTTTAATTAGTTTCGAGAATAATAATTAGTCGGACATAATATTACTCCTGCTTTCGTTGTAATTAAAATAGTGGTTCTTTGTTATTATCTAAGTATATCATTACAATCTGACTATAATCAAAGCCGAGGCACATAAAAAATTAAATCTTTTCTGTGTTATTTCATAGCGTGAGGACTGAGGAGTAATTTTTGCCCTTTTCAATGTTATATTATCATATCTTATCAAGTACGTACTGTGTACAAAAATATATAACATGTATTAATACTATCGTCACCTTATTTTATTATTAGTCGCGTCTAGGATCTCACTAGTGATTTACAATAATCCTGTTTATAGGATTTACATATACATATATTTGAAGATGTTGCACTTGATAGATAATTAAATGACAGCGAGGCGTTTATATCTTGACTTGTTCTGAACCAAATTGTCGTTCGCCGTATAAAAAAATTGGGCTACAAAAATATGTCACATAAAATCCAGTGAAGATAATAATTCCTTAAAGAGAAGAGAAATTGTTTTTAGCTTTCCATTTGTAGTTATAAAATTTTTAGAGAGTTTGTGTAAGAATTTTACGGTTTGTAATTTTTTGTGAAATAAAAACAATGAAAGTGCTTGCAGAGTGATAGTTACATCAAAGTTTAAGACAAAATATGTGATTTTAAATTTTTTTAATATCAAAAACTGATATAACAAGTAAGTTGAAAAAATAAATAAGCCAATAATGCGAATTTTACTCTTTATGATGCGTGATACGTATTTTAAAATGTGTATTTTCTTCCAATTATATAAAAGCTGGTTTCTGGCTTATACATATTTAATTAAAACATATAAAATCTTTTTTCAAGCCTCTATTTCAATGAGGCTAAACTCTTATGTTACAGATAAATTGATTTTTAAAATTATTTCGAAATTTTCCATCCTTTTCAGTGTAAAACATATATACACTCATTCTATTTATTCATTAAATTTACAATATTAAAAAAACGTTCTTTTTACTCCGATATATTTGTTTAAATATATATATCATATAAAAACACTATTGTTTAAATACTAGAGATACGATATTCTAGAGATCGCAAGTAATATTTCTGCACAAGTCAATATATTTTTAATTGTCTTTATAACTTTTTTATGATGTTTTGTAACAAAGAAAGAAGTGTACAATATTTGAATGATAAAATAAACATGTATTGCAAAATACAATACAGTGATAATAATAATAATAGTACAGTGATAATAGTAATTTAATAAATATTATATTTCGTTTGCTCATGCAAAATTGTGATAGGGCTATTTTAAATTTAATAGGCTTGACACAAATATTCTTAAATATTTTATTAGTTTTATTAGACCATTACTTAAAACTGTTGAAATGTCCTAGATATATTAAAAGATAAGGACATGCTAGAAGCTGTTCTAATGTATAAAATATATTTTTAGGATCTTAAACAATGACTGTTCGACCACTACCAACAGCTTTGGCTGAAAAAGCCCGAAAAGAATTAAATGAAGATCCCGAATTAATCGATGAAAAAATTCAACAATTCAAACAATGGATCTTAAGTCAAAAACATTTGAAAGCCAGGACAGGTATTTTTGTTCTATCTTGTAACCTGTAAAATTTATTTCAATTGAAATAATTTATTTTGTTTCTTTTTTCTGAGAAATTAATCAGTATACAAACTTTTTTGTTTCTGAAGGTATAAGTGTAATGTTTTGTTGCTATTACAGATGATCAATGGCTTTTGGCCTTTTTACGTGGTTGTAAATATAGAATGGAGCAGGCAAAGTCCAAAATTGACTTGTATTATTCACTGAGGAGCACTGCGCCATATCTGTATAGTGTTAAGTTCAATGAATCCAAACTAATAGATCTTTTGAATTTGGGGTAAGAGCTAACATTTTTGGAAACATTTACAATCCACATTACAACTCCTTTATTGTGAATTAAATATTTTTTGTAGATCTGTAGTAATATTACCGAAGACTCTAAATCCGGCAGAACCCAGGATTATATTTTACAGATTAGGAAGATTTGATCCTAAAGAATATCACATTATAGATGTATTGTGTCTTTTATCGTTTATGGAGCAGGTGATTTACAAGCCACAATAGTAACTAACTACCGAAATGATAGACTAATGACATGTTGCTTTTCTTTTTGTATATTTGTTTTAATAGTTTTAAATAATTTTTGTAATTTTATTTGATATAGATATGTTTTATGGAAGACGATACTTTTGTTGTGGCTGGAACAATTCACGTGTTGGACTTCGCGGGTACTAAATTTGGTCATTACACCCAAACATCATTTACCCATTTACGGCATATAGGAGTAGCTAGACAGGTAACTAAGTATTTATATATAGATTGACGATTTTAAACTATGAATCTTTTTTTTAAATTAACTCTACGGCTTATCATTGCATGTAATGCAAGAAAAGGGACTCAGCACGCGCCCATTCTGCCGATGACGCTGTCTAAGCCGCAGGAATAACAGCAATAATAATTAATTATAAAAAAATGTATATATACCTATATATAAGAAATCTATTAAAATTTATTTAGGTCTGTCTAACTACAACAAACTGTATCAAATGTAAAAGGTTATCATTAAAATTGGTTAATCAACAAGACTGCATACATATGTATGTATGTAAATACACATAAATGTACGTTTAGATGTAATTTTAAGCATTATGAATGTTATATGTACTTGTATGTTTTTAGGACGCTGTCCCTATTCGTATAAAGAGAATACATTTTTTAAACACTCCGTACTTTTTTGAGACATTTTTTAAAGTCGCTAAAATGATTCTTAGCGAGAAGAATAAGCAAAGGGTGAGTGAGTTTTAAGTGTTTTGTATATTAAATATTCAAATATTGTGTATAAAATAAGTAAACTGAATTTAACTATTATCCTTTTTCTTTTAATTTTATACATAAGTTGTATGTAATCTTAATCACATATGTCAGATAATTACAAATTAGTATTAATGTATAGCAATCAATGCTTTTAGAATCACAAGGTTATTCAGCTAAAGAGGCATAAATGCAACATTGTTGCATTGTGTGAATTACTTTATTGCAATTGTTATTACTATCTTATCACTTTCATCTCTTCGATACTGCAAATGTCGATAAGTGATATGACGTACGAGTAGCTGCTTTCAAAAAAGTCAACGAAACTTGTGTATTTGTAAAAAAAGACTTCATTTAATATTTTTTCGTAAAAATATTTCAGATTCTTTTCCACAGTAAAAGTGCTTTGCATGATTACTTTCCCAAGGAGGTCATACCTGAGGAATATGGAGGAACCGGAGACAGTTTTCGGCAATGTGTAGGTCTGTATTTTTAAGAGGCTGTTAAAGCACCTATTTTTTTTAATGCTTTTATTATTATTTTTGTTTTACAAAAAAGGATTCGTTAATAAAGTTTACAATAGTTTTAATGTTATAAAATGACTAATTTATGTTATTACTTACATTTTAATTTATTATTTATTTAATATCTAGTGATGTAAACGATAAATTAATATTATTTAATGATTTCGATTTTATATAAGTTAATATTTTTTTTATTAAAAATAATAATGATTGCAATTTTAAAGATAAAGTTTCGCTAATTAGATTTTTATTGAATAGATTATTGGAAGAATAAGATAAGGGAGTATAACTCGTTTTTTGAAGAGGACCTCAAATATGGCAGTGATGAATCTAAACGGCTCACGAAGAATGAATCAATAGAGTTTGATTGATGGCAATGCCTGTTGGAAAACTTTTAGTGTTATCATTATAAATTATAGTTACCGGTTTTGTTATGGCTTTCAAGAATTTTATGTCTAAGTTTTAGCTTTATTATTTTAATAACGGTAGGTGTCAGTTACCTTTTCTTTGTTATACATATATTTTTATAATACAAATTTTACTTATTTAATTTTTTGTACCTTTTAAGACACGTCTTGAATTTTTTTTGCGTATTTTTTATGGACAGATATCCATACATAGATGTGTGTTCATAGTTTTTTATGTGAAGCTAGTTTTTAATTTTTATTAATAATGTACCTATTATTTTTTAACGATAATCTAGCAAAATTGTCTTTTGGGTGCCTGTTAAATTGTGATTACAAGATTTTTAATATAAGTCCAGGATAAATTATAAAAAATGATAAGTGACCATTTATTTATACTCAATATTTGTGTTACCTTTCAAAACAAGGCTATCTTCATTTACAGTTAGATTAAAGCGTCGATGTTTGTTTACCTTTCTTATTACATAAAACGTTAAGTAGATCACAGTGTTTCCGAAACTTTTTATCCATGATGTACGTTATTTTTAAGTTTAACGGCAAACGAATATTTTCTTTACAAATTCATTTTATGTTAAAACTTAACGATGATTTGGTTGCGTTTGTTTGGTACTACGAGTACCTGCAATAAAAACCGTGAAAAATAGAACTCAGTTTTTCGGAAAGTACATGTTTTTATTATTTTATAAATGCATAATCCTGATGTTTCCGTGCCTTTACACAATCGTGATTACGGCCAGATGAGTTTCTCTTTAGGTGAAAGGAATTATGTAGGTATAAAATAATAAAAACACGTATGTACTATTCGAAAAATTTAGTTTCATTTAAACAAGTATTTGTGAAAATCTTAAATATACTTATAAAACCATGGATTGTAGTTCCTTGAGTTCTTTTTAAGAATTCTAAGTTAATGATTTACGATGAAAAAACATTATTTTGAAATGATACGTATTTTGTTTTATTATGCCTATTAAATTCAAATTTTATTAATATTTATATTTTGAAAAAAAAAATGAGAAAGAAGAACATTATTTACCAAACAGATATAATTTAAAAATAACTTTCTTATTGGACTATTTCCTAATTGATTCATACATTAGTTATAGAACATTTTTTTTCTTCCGGATAATTTATCAATTTTTAATGTAATTATTACAATTATTTCTTATATTAAGTGAAGTGTTGCGGCAGTAAATAAGTTTGGTGACAGCGGAGGATACAAAAGCAGTTTTACTTATAAAACTATATTTAAGTTACAATTAAGACCGATACTTAACTACATTCAGAGGAGACTTCTGTAAGTCAGAGATTGACTGCAAACTCAATGTATGATTAAGACTTAACTAAATCCTAAATATAGGTGTCTGTAAGTCAACGATTGACTTCACACTCAATAAAGTTAAAACCCAGTTCCCATTCCCACCGATGGCTCAGCGACAGTATTTGGTACTTAACAGTTAACACCATTGATGTACTATAAGATTATTCGTTGGCTATCCTTACGTAACAAGCTCAGTGATATTTCAGTTGAGAAATTTTCTTTGAAACAGCTACAGTTTATAATGACATCTAACGACGAAATACCCCCTTAATTGATTCATAAATAATGTACCTTTTTGGAAGACGAATAAAAGGGCGATTTTGTTATTAAGAATAAGAAGTCTGGAATAGTATCTAGCATATTGATAGCAAATTGAAAGTTGAAACGATAGATGTGTATATAAAGGACAAAGGAACATCTGAAAACAATTAACAATCGTTTCACTTAAAACTAGTATTTTTTAAAACAGCTTTGTACTTGAATTTTATTAAAGCAAAGGGAATTTTCTGCCAAATAGATCCTCATTTTCTTGCTTTTTTAAACAATCAACATTTTTTTACTTTATTATAAAATCCTACGAAAACATAGTTGTAGACATCTTTAAAATTCAGAAATTCCTCTATTTTATGCACAAATAAAATATTTTACAAAAAATATGTAATTTTTTAGTTTTTCATATATTATTTTTAAGACGTGAAATAATTCTTGGGAATATAGGAATTGAAGCTGTATTGAAAACATTTTATATCATGGATTACTGCTTAATGTTTATTATTGAATGTTTTTTTATCGTTATATAATTTTTTATGGTAAATTATAATGTGATCTAAGAATTGATATTCGATATTAACTTTGCCCCGCTGTTTTAATGAGGAGTTTGCCCCTTGAAAAAACTTATAGCACGCGAAGAAGTCAAAGAAAGTGTGAAATATTAAAAGAACTGATTTAGACATAATTTAATAAAATGATTTATCACTTCGAAGTATTAGAATCATTAACTTATTTATATATTTAAGATGTTTTCCCTTTAACTTGAAAATAAAATGTTTTAGAACGACTTCAATTCCCTTCCTTGTTTATCGCTTAACTGACCTATTGCATTTAATAAAATTAATTTTAATTATTTATATTTTATGCAATAAAAAATAAATAATAGTTTGTTTTTTTTTGTTATATTAATATTATATGTTATATTTATTTTAGTTATAAGCTAAATGAATATTTATTTTATCTAAGCTTTAGCACACGAAAACGTGCCAGATAAAGGAGTCAAGGTATTCAGTTCGTGAAGCGATTCCAATTTAGACACTACTATCCAAGTTTAAACGTCTTGATGATCTTTTAATTAATTCCAGAGTATCATTGAATTGTATTAAAAAAAATACACTACTTGCTCCACTTTTGATTTCATCATTTTTTAATTCCATTAGATGACTTATTTATTTCCGTTAACTGACTGTAGTAAAAAGGCTTATTTCTGATAGTTTAAAAAAGTGTTTGTCCACAACTTTTATGTTTATAACGTAATGTTTTTTTGTTACTGTATTAAAAATTAATACGAGAAAACTATAAATTATCCAGCAGAGGATAAATCTGTGACGTATCAGAAGAAACAAATTATAAGATATCTTATTAGCTTACTTTGACTTTTCAGAACCTTATTATAGTACATATTTATTATATAGTTTAAAAAAAAATGTGTATAATGAGAGGGTTTATTTTATTAATAATGAAATCTAATAAAGCAATTAAATCCAGAAATTTTCGCTTGCAATCATTTAGTTTCATATTGAATTTTTTTTTCTTGGATTTAGCTTGCGAATATACTACACTACGTTATACCCTAAGTTTTGATTACTCTTGAGTAACTGTGGTCACGAGAAAACGAGATGAATGTGTCCGTTTTCTAAAATATCTTTTCAAATAGACGACCTTTAATGTCGTAGAGTAAAAAATACAGTAGACAAGTCAGACTATTAGACGTCCTTTAACAAACCACAGGTCATTGCTCTTGAACAGAGATATATACATATATATAGTATTAATCATAATTTGTGAGGCTATTGAAATTAAAATAAATATCATTCTCATTGTAATGGAAAAGATAGCTGGCAGTTATCTATGTATAATCTAGTAACTTCATCAAAAGTATAAGCTTTTCCGTTACCTTCACTGTAAGACCTGAAAACCTAAAGTTAGGCGGGTCTTCGTGTACAGGAACAGTACCCCAGGAGATTAATAAATCGTATAATTTATATGACAAAAAGACTAAATGACAGGCACTTTTGAACGTCGTCTGAAAATGAAGCATAATAAAATACGAGAATTAAATTAAAAAACTTAGTTTTATTTAAACACCTGTTCGCTAAATCTTGATATTATTTTATTTTTCTCCTACCTACTAATTACCTCACGAACTTTGTGTTATTAATATTAGATGGTTGTTAGTCTCAAGATCTTATAGTTATTTTAAAGATGGAAACCGAACTAAATAAATAAAAAATAGATTCATATATGTACTTCAGTTTTTCAATAACAGTATACGTTTTAACTATAGAGATATAATTTTTTGTGTCAGGTGTTAATTTATCCAGTCCGGAGTCACAACGTCGCAGGCGACTGTTATCGGTAACTCAACTGATAAAGTTAGTCGATACAAAGTCGATCAAACATACAGACCTATATTGTTTCGTTACAAGGTGCTAGTTTGACTGATAAGTTTTTTGTTGTGAGTTCGTAGCACTTTTTTACTGCATCATTTACAATTTACGGTTTTATTCATAAGTGAAATTTTGGTTTTTAAAGTCGTTTATAAGGTAAGAATTTTGATTTTTAAAGTAGCTACCAAGTTTAACAATTCATTTTATGTATATAAGAGTCTGAAACAAAACGTCTGAATAAAGAAAAAAATACATTTATAATTTAAATTGTTCAATGTTAAAGATATCAGTGTCTTAGTTATATGCTAGTTCGTATTAGTAGAATAATAAACTTCCATATCAATTTTATCATTATGTGTCACCTCACCTAGTCATAGAATAAAATAAAATCAATTATGAAACGTCCTAGTTAATGATATACCTCTTAAATCGATATAAACACAATAATCGTTAGAAATTCATGTATACACATTGTTTTATAAAAAGAAATTAAGCAATTTTATGGTATTTCTATTAGAAATATTTTTATGAATGTAGAAAGACATCACAAAAGGCAACACATGAATTAGGATCCTAATAAATGTGAAAATATTTTACTGGAAAATGTTTTTTTCTTAATACTTTAAGGCAACATTATCAAATTACAAGAATAAAAATAGATTAAACGCTAAACTCCGATAATATTAATAAACATAAAATTTTACGTCGTTAAAAGATATTTTCCTTGAAATAAATACAATTTCTTACAAAATTTTGTAAGCCACGGGTAATAAAGAATACAACACGAAGTTATCATATCTTTTGAGTTACATTGTAAAGTTTAATCAAACAGTATTTTTAAACTGAATGACCCGTTTTAGAGTCACTTACATATATTCAGTCTATGTAAGTTCATATTCTGTATATTTTGGTTTTTGGGTTACTTGCATCTAATTTACATTTATACAATTATGAAAAATGATTTCTTTCACAAAAATTCATAATTTTTTGATAACTGCTTGGACAATTTGAGGGACTAATTATATAATTACAATCTTTAGTAAATAAAACTATTTATTCTTGTGTATTTTGATATAAAAATAGATTCTTCCAAAAAAATATTTTAAATTAAATAATGTGAAATAAATTTAGAAGGGTCGATTAGTTCCACTTGTTACTTTTTATCTATAGTCATTCTAATAGACTCTCTTTAGGATATTGATTATCTTTATCTCAGGATTCACGGAGACTGCACTAAATGTGTTTTGATTACGTAGTGATGATCAAAATCAAACTTAGTCTTACAGTTTGAGACCTGTTTTTGAATTTTGAAATTTAAGATCAATACGGACTAATTTAAACACGTCCAAAGCTGACCGTGGAAGATTTGAGCACGGAGTATAAAATATAATAAGATATAATATAAAAAAAAACAGTAATGTCAAAGTAAAAAAATGTGGAACAGTATATATAAATCTGTAATTTATGTTATTGTATTTCATTACTTATTTAAATCAATTGTAAATTACAATGTTTATACCATTTTATATAATGGAAACGTCTATCAATTTCTTCTAGACCGATATTGTACTTTTGAATATAGTCAAATTATTTGCTATTCTTAATCACTTGCTATTCTTAATCTTAGCTTATTAAATGTAAAGTGTCCCTTGAGACAAGACTGAAAGATCAGTAAGTTAGAGCACCGCTTAGATCTTAGGTTCACACTTCTACTGGGGTTATGTCTCATTCTATGTTTAGACATTTATAAATTGGATGAATCTTAACTGTTGCTATTCAAGATCAATATGCACCTTTTTTTGTTGCGTTATCCAAAAATCTCAAGTAACGTAAAATAAACAGCAATAAGCTCACAAGATACTGCGGAAATTGCAAACTCTTGCAGCAACTCTTGTTTTTGCGTTTGTGTAACACTAGTCTTGAGATCTTGCAATGGGTTTCATATTCATGAAATTTAATACATTTTTAAAAGAGGATGACATAATTACATAATTGCCGGTTAGTACGTAAATTATAATTATTTTTTTATTTCCTCAAGCCTCGCAAGTTAATCGTAATCTATATTTATTAAAAACAAAATAATATATTTCGTTTGTAGAATTAATGGTGGTAAAAACTGCTGACTCCGATTCCATTTTATATTACCTACTAGTTTTTGCCCGCGACTTCGTCCGCGTTAGTTTCGTCATTAGTAATATATGTATAGCTGACCAGGCGAACTCTATTCCGTCTTAGAGGCCATAAATAATCAGGTTTTTCCTGTTTCAATCAAACAGAATGATTGACGTATTAGTTAGTTGTCAAATCTAATGTCAAAAAAGCGTTTGTATGGGAAATAGAAAAGGGCTGTTTTTAGGGTTTTCCCGGCAATAATTCCAATTTTTCTCACCTTTTATACCTTCCCTGAACCTCCATGAACATTTCAAGACTAAGGTAAGACAAATCCGTTCAGCTGTTCTCGAGTTTTAGCGAGACTAAGGAACAGCAATCCATTTTTATATATATAGAAGATTTAATGAGATCTAAGACATTCGCGAGTATTCATTTAAACGAAACTAATATTTTAATACCTGATACTCACATTTCGTCTGCCCGTGATCACGGTTGCTAAAAAGTAATCGAAACGTCAGGAGTATGTAGTTTAAAAAAGAAATAATTACGCGTAGTATAATCTTCTATAAAATTAGTTTTTCTAATGTTTTTAACTAATATAAGCTGAAGACTACAGTTAAGTGTTTCACTATCGTTCACATATATGTATATTTATACCTAACGCTATGTTAATCCATGCACAGCTAAGCGATAACCTATTACTACATATATCACAAGCAAACTGGCATAGTGACAATTTGCAAAACATCTTACCAGAGTTTAAATTAAAAAACAAGTATTTAAACAAAAACAAGTCCAATAGTATTTAAATGCCATATAATAAAAAAATACTTATTTTTTGTGATACAATAGTGCTGTTAATAACTATTATAATGTTTTGATACTAAGATTTGACTCACATTATAAAATTTAGAAACAACGTTAATATTATTTTATTTTGTGTACATATAAATATTTAATTTGCAATAAAACATTAATATTATACTAATAATTAATGTAATACAATTCCTTACAGTTTTGTGCAATGGTTCGTGAATTGACCCCGGAGCTGGCTGCGATAGCAAAAAAAGATTTAAATGAGAATCCAAAGCAGCTTGAAAATGATTTAACAAATTTAAAAGAATGGATATCAAAACAACCTCATTTAAAAGCGAGAACTGGTATGTTTCTTTTTTATTTCAATCGTAGTCAATAATGTACTCATATTTTCCATTTTTTCCTGTATTTTATAGGCACAGAAAAAACTTTATTCGATTTTTATGATAACATGACTTAACATAAGAGTAATGATTAGGCATTTTTTTTTCTAATCTAATCTTGATGTATCTCAAAGCCTCTTAAAATTTAGTTAAATAATAAAAAGAAACATGTCATTATAGTAAATTTTTAGGAAATATAAATGCGGTTCTGTTCATACAATTTAAATAAATTTTTTGCCAAAGTCACACGGATACAAGTGCACTTTGTCGTAGTGATGTCGTTGATACTTCTTTTGACTTTAAAATAATTTATAATGACTCTACTTGGTAAAAAATTGTAATAACTTGATTGTTAGTAATGATATCGGCGAAGAAATTATAAAGTCACTTCAGAACGATTTTAAATAGTATATGATAATAAATTTTAGATGACCAATGGCTGGCTGCTTTGCTGAGAGGTTGTAAGTTCAGTTTAGAACGTGCCAAGAGTAAATTGGACTTATTTTACACTTTGCGTTCCACCGCTCCCGATGTCACTTTAAGATTGAAGCCAACGGAACCAGCATTTATAGAATTTCTCAGACTTGGGTATGAAAAGCAGCAAGTAAAAGATTTTAACACCTTTTAGTACAGTTGTTAAAATTTATTACGCATTGATAAAAAATCTGCAATTTAACATGACGCATAAAATGTTTTTGAGTAACCATGTTGATTTTATATATGATTTTAAATATTATCGGTGATGGTAATTTTAGAATTATTTTTTAATTTACTAAGCTTTCTATGTGTTTCAGAACATGTCTAATACTACCTCAATCTAAAAATCTGCATCCGACTGTTATAATGATAAGGCCGGGTGCGTTTGATCCAGAAAAATATAATGGTGCTGATATAATGTGTATTTTATACTACTTAGTACAGGTTAGTAGTGTTCACAAGGACTTAATTTGCGTAATCTTTTCTTTATGTCTCATAAACCTTACGCCAGATTATTATGTCTTATTCTATGATTTGTGTTATATAATTATAACAACCAAAAACAGATATATTTTCAAAGTAGATTTTTGTCTTTCTTATTACTTTGATGCAGCTTCTTTTCAGAAACAAGAAATTATGGTTGGATTAACAAAAGTTTTTGCCTAACTATTTGTCGGCAATTTCCATTATTTATTTATTATGTTATAAAAATACAAAGTATCAAATAATTACATTTTAGATATTAGTCATGGAAAACGACGTGGCCGCTGTGATGGGTACCATGATATTGGTTGACTATCAAAATGTTACAATGTCTCATTTAACACAAGCAAATCCTAGCCTCTTGAAGAAATTGGTAGCCGTCAGCCAGGTAAACTTATCGATTCCACTTTATTTCTATAGTTAATGACTGCATGTTGCGGTTAGTTCTAGATAAGTAATTATTTAAAAGATATTATATAGATAACATATCAAGGGTGGTAAAGATAATGATTAAAATTATGTAAATAATACCATAAATGGATGCCTTACAGCAGTAATCTTTTACGTGTATCTTTTTTTAATAACAATTTGGGATTGGGCCTAGTTTTAGACCTTAACCTGGCCGGTTAACAAAATCGTAGGATTTTATATAACATAATTTTCTATTTCATAGGTAAATGTGTCATTCTTTCAGGACTCGTTGCCGCTGCGTCTCAAAGGTAGCCATCATGTCAATGTCCCTCCTGGTATAGAAATTATTTTTAAACTTGTATCTGGTTTCTTGGGAGAAAAGGCCAAACAGAGAGTATGTTGGAAATATCATATAATTATATGGATAAGTTTATAAAAAAGTGTATCATATGTAACTTTTTCAGCTGCGAATTTATAAATGCTATGAGGAGTTGCTTGAAATTTTACCAAAGGACACAGTTCCAGTTGAATATGGAGGAAGTGGCAGCTCAGTAAAAGAAGTTATTGGTACGTAACAATATCACTCAAGACCATGGTTTATGATTTCTTGGTCCATTTTTTTAATGCGTAAATAAATTTTACAAATTTTACCATTTTACCAGACTAGGATCTCTCAATAGTTTTTTATTACAAAAGATAGTGAAATTTTTAATCTAATGACTGAAGTACATTAATCTTACTCATAAGACTTAACTTTCTAATATGTTTTTTATCTTATATAAACATTATATGAGTTATAAATTCTTTGGACTTCAAAAATTAGAAAACAAAAATTATGGTTTTGGAAGTAAGTCGAATTTCATGTAGTGCATATTAATTTCTGATTCTGGTTTAACTTTGTTCTATTACTTAAAATATTATTGAGTAAAAATTTTACAACAAAATTAAACTATGGGTTGAAACTACGTTAATAAAAGAATTATTGATTTAATGAAGGCAATTTGTACAAATTACTATACAGTAAGACATAAACATTATTTTTCGAGATACTTGTCTTCAAATGTAAAAATAGTATTATTTGTTAGATACTATTTTATAAAGATGCCACTATCCTATTCGTACATGTTGAATTTATTTAAAATGGAATAAACATCACTTTATCAATTTTTGGAGTTTCATATAACAAAAATAATAATAATATAATAATGTTCACAAAAAAATGCTTGCTGTGAGTAGAAGTTACAAGTTACCTTTCTGAAAGTGTTATCGGTCATGTATTATCTTTACACTTTTGTAACTACAATGTAAAGTAGATGAAAGACTTAGAATAAAATGTGTTTTACAGAATATTGGGAGAATAAGATCATAGAATACAGGCCGTGGTTGGAGGAAGAAATGAAGTACGGCACAGACGAGAGCAAAAGAGTGAATAAAGATAACTATGACGTCAGTAATCAGGGTTCATTCAGAGCGTTAGATATAGATTAATTCAAATATAATATAAATTATATTGAGAGTCAAGGTCATCGACTTAATTTTATTACCTCACCTTACCTTTACTGATTTTTTTTGTATTGTAATTTTCTTTTATTTAGTGTTAAATACTGGTTCACTTTGGCCTGAATTCTACGACGATGGTGAATGTCCAACAGACATAATTTTTTGTGTAAAAAGTAGTTAGCCAAGTTACTTTTAATTGTTGTGGTGATTTGATTACAAATTACATAAGGTTTATACGTACCTTGTCACGTGTCGTCACACGCGAGCGATCTGTAGGTTAAGATAAAACATTCAGTGTGCTAGCGAGTGGTTTAAAAAATAATACAAAGAAATATTATTTTATCATATTGTTGTAGTGCTATTCAAATAATAATAAGATTTAACAGCGTGTTTATAAAAAGTGCTACAAAACTATTGGCCTCAAAAACTCTAAATAAATAAATTGCAAGTTTTTTTGTAGTTAAAGAAAAATTATGTTAATTATTAAACGCATATATGTTAATTATTATTTTTGGTGTTGTGTTTTAATTAAATATAATTACATGTATGAAGTTTTATTATAAACAAGTAATTTTTAAATGTTATGTGCAGTGTGTGTTATGAACATCAAACATTAGGCTGCCATCAGACAAACAGGACATTCATAATATATTTTTATTTATATCATTTTTATTAATACAACCAGTAATATTAAATAAATATTATAAATAGTAAAATATGACGACCCGAAAACTTTGTCTGCTTCTGCAAGAAAAAGCCGAGAACGAACTATTTGAGAAATCAAATAGAATACCCTCGGATATTGAGGCTATCAAGGAATGGTTGAAGAAACAGCCACATTTGCAAGCAGTTAATCCAAGTAGGTATTTGTTGACATTTATTGTGTATTTTTTTAAATTCTATAACTAAAATAGAATAAATGTATTGTTTTAATCCATCCATAACCTATAAAAACCTAGCACCAGTTTATTTAAAATGTTATATCATTATTTTTATACTTAAGTTATAATTGTAAAAAAATGGAAAATAACACGTCGTTTAATATAAATTAAACGAAGTTAAAAAACAATTATGGTCTTGTTGTTAATTAATCTGTTAGATTCAGAGCCATCTTCACGTCAACTCAATATTTGTATGTTTATTGAAATACGAAACATAAATTTCAAAACTTTTAAATAACATATTAAATAGGTCTCTATATAATTGCTCTTGTAAAATTGTTTTGCCGTGACGTGACCTTTGATATTAAGTTTTTTTTCATTTTTGTAGCTGATCAATGGTTGATAGCGTTTTTAAGAGGGAACAAGTACAGTTTAGAAAGGACTAAAGAGAAATGTGAAATGTACTACACTCTGCGTACCATAGTACCAGAAATATTCAGGGGTAGAGATCCAATGGACCCTTATATACAGGAGATATTAAAATTAGGGTAAAAAAACTTGTGATTATTAACTTAAATATAATATAAGTATATTTGATTTCCTTACAATGGTAATTCATTTTCAGGGTTTTCCTACCACTAAAATCATGCAAAAGCGCAGATGCTTGCAAGGCAACCATTACCAGGTTCGGAGCCTCTGACTCTTCAAAATATCATTTGCTTGATATTATGAAAGTAATGTTTATGATCATTGAAATACTTCTACTAGAGGATGACAACTTCGTGGTTGCTGGAATGGTACATTACGAATACATACATAATTTTGTTCATTATAATATACAAAAAATTAATTGGTGTCATCAATTATAGTTATATATTAAAAAAACATAATATCTAGGAGAAACATCTTTAATTCTTTACACAAGTTCATAGAATAACGTTATATGTATTACTTTTGCTTTTTATTATTTACAGTTAGCTGTAGAATATTATTTTATATTTCTATGTTTTAGTTTATTTGTGGGTTCACGTAAGTTTTATCAAAACAGACTACTATTTCTTAATCACTAGCAGCATCAAAATATATTATTTTAATGTTGCCGTATTTAATATTTTATTCATAATACATTTTAGGATGTACTGTTTGATATGAAGGGAGTTGGCATAAACATTTTGAGTCAGTGGACTCCGACCATTGCTAAAAAACTAATATTCTTGATAGAGAAAGCTTTACCAGTGAGAATGAAGAGTAGTCATGTAATAAATATACCTCCAGGTTTTGAAGCGGCTTATAATTTGTTTAAAGCTTTCGTAGCAGACAAAATTAAACAACGGGTAAGGAATTTTATTTAGTAATAATTAAATGTAAACGTTAAATTATAAACTCTGTTTGTAGAAATTAAACGACAGCTAAGTAATTTTATTTAGTATTTGTACATGTATCACTTATTTGGAACTTGAAAATTTATATTGGGACTTTCGGTTTGTTTTTCGTACAATTAAGAATGATCGATTTTTTACAAGTCATGTAAATTTGTATATAATATGTACCTACTAACTTAATCTGAAATAGAAAAATGTATTATAATTTCTGGATTTTAAGTACTGTGGAAAATGCTAAACGCTAAAAATATGGATTTTACTAAATTATAAGCTTTTTATATGAGAGCATCAAATACGAGATGGGGAAATAAATTTACAAAGAAAAGAAACTGGACTTCGGTTTTGGCAATTCTACAATTTTGAAAAATAAATTTATTACGAAACAAAGTTGCAACCATAAAACTTTATTCATTTTTTTTTATTGAGGTGACTTAACTTCTTCATATTTTTGTGTTTATTTTTTAGTTTCATCTATACAGCCAAAATTATGATAGAATGTACGATACTCTGCCTCGAAATATTCTTCCAAAGGAATATGGTGGAGACGATGGGTCTCTACAAGAACTAATTGGTATGAAAATTTCCTTATTTGATTTATAAATTTTTTATGTATCAGTTACTAGATTTTATTTCAAATTTCCGACTATATTCTATGAATCTTTCCAAAGTCAAAGTCACAAGTGTTTTAAAACATTGGAACTCAATATTTTTAAGATTATATTTCACAATAACTGTATTATTTGATTAATTTTAAAATAAGCAGATTACTTACACACTAAATTGTCTTTTCAGACTTCTGGAAAAGTAAGGTCGAAAGTTACCGCGACTGGTTCCTCAAAGAAGAAACTGAACGTTCAAATGAAGCTCTGAGACCTGATAAACCTAAAACTACTTCGAATCTTTTTGGTGTGGAAGGATCTTTTAGGAAGTTAGATGTCGATTAAATTTATTTATTTTCTCGAAAGTTCCAATGAATATTTGTTTTTAAAAGAAATTCTTCAATGAGTAGTGGAAACATTTTGTTCACTTTTTTACATATCATTCACTTCTTTATTAATATTATTTATATCGCATATGTGGGATAAAACTTAAACGTATTGGACACGGGGGTGAGTTATTTTTTCTTATCTTAGGAAAGGAGTTTATTCTTATTTTTTCTTATCTTAGGAAAGAAATAAAGTATTGAACCAAAGCGATCTGTCTTGTGTTGTTAGTTGATCAATCACGCGTGTTTAATTTTAGACAGGACAAATAAAATTGTTATATAGGACAGCATTTCTGGATTAATTATATGAACCTATGTAGTGTATAACCTGAGGATATTCTTATTAAATTTGATGTTTTAGATAGTGGTACAATTATAAGATAAGAAAGATCTATAGATAGATATGTTTAATATACTTCATTATTTTCTGTTCAACGAATATAGCATTTCTTGAAATAGGTCTGTTATATAGGGGCGGCTTATATAATCTAATCTTTTTTCATAATACTTACGAATAAAAAAAAATCTCAAAGATGTACTATATATGTATTTATCCAGCTAACATGAAAACGTGTGCCAAATATCCTGTATGTTTAAAAATATTTCTTTAACATAATTAAAAATTAAATGTTGGAGCTCCATGTAGAAATTGGTTAAGTGAGTAGTAGAATTAGCTTCATTTGTACTATTAGACTAAAACTGTAACATAAATTTCCGAGTAATCAAAGTTATAAGAACATAATTCTCTTGAGGGTACATTGTAACGTTTATGAGTTTTATGATCGATCGCCTAAAACGATGTAGTGCCTTAGAATAATTGTAAACCTCCAAGCACCTCTTTGCAGTAAGTATAATTATTTATTATAAAAAATTGATTATAAATCAATTGCACCTATACAAATATTATATTAAAAGCGTATAAGCCTGCTTTCAACACTGCTTATCTTTAAACTGGCAAAAAAAATCCGAAAATATAAAACATTATTAAAAAGAATGCTATTAATATGGTATTAATGCTTGAGGAATTAATAATTTAATAGAAGGCTTCTAATTTTATTATTTGTCTTTCTAACCAATTCGGCGCCCCTATAAGGCAATTACACCGTACTCCTATATTGCTTATAATTTTATGTAATTTGCCTGTATTGAAACGCTTCAACTGTATATATTCTAATAATTTTATATTTTAAGAAAAATAAAATATCTTAATTTTTAGCTAATACAATAATACTCAAAGAGGCAGAGAAGTGGTTGTGAGAAAGGTACGGAAAATTTTAAGCAGCACATTATTCTGTTCATAAAATACATGAGTTTTTTTTAGACTCTTTAGATATTTAAACCACAGTTAATAACCAAAAATATTTATTTTAAATACTAAAATATTGGTTACACGAAAAACAAAATGAGTTTATGTCTCGTAATTGAAAAACCAAAAGTTTGTGAGAATAATTATTTCGTTTTCACGCAAAAATAGAATAGATTTTAATGAAACATTACAATAACATAGTTAAGACATGAGAACAACCTTTAGGTGATAACTGATTCCGAAATTCCTTGTAGTTCCTTTATTACAACTTTAAAGGCAACCCTAGTAGGTTCATTTCAAATTTAGTTAGGTAGAGAGGAGTTTGAATAGGGGCCCTTTAAACCTATACTTGTCGCCCGAGTCCCAGGCACTGTTAGAGCTTCTCTCCCTGCAAAGCGATGGACCCGCACGGTGAATACATGGAATGCTGAAAAGTTTCGTCTGTGTCTAATTTATTCAAACATAGACAGTCATTTAATCAGTACTTAAAAGTATCTTGTAATTAGATTATATCCTTCAATATTTGGTGTAAAATTTATTCAAGTTGTTATATATCAAATTTGTGTCAGTAATTCTTTGAATTTTAAAGCGCGTAGTGAGAATAGAACGGTTTCTTGGGAAACCAACATTCCCAAAGACCATACCATCAAGGTCAACAAATATTACGAGCTCACTAACGAACTCTCGAAATAAGTTCGTCGTGGATTTGTACGCGGTAGAGGTGGAAGCGAGAGGTATAACAGCAAAATCTCTCTACAACCTACTAAAAGACTTGGGCTTGTCCAGAACTCACATTAATACATTCTTGGCACATGAATTTCGATTTCGGGCAGCCCTAGTAGGTTCTTTTCAAATTTGGTTAGGTAGGGAGAGGAGCTTGGACAGTGGAGGTGAGCGTATAACGCGCGTTAGATAGGGGCCCCTTAAACCTACACCAGGGTCGCAAGTCCCAGGCACTGTTGAAGCTCCTCTCCCTGCAACGCGATGGACCGGGCACCCGCACGGTGAATCCATTGAGTACTGAGAGGTTCCGTCTCGTCTTATATATGTTGCAATTTCAAACTTAGACATGAAACCCACGGACAAAGTTTTTAATCTATTGCATTGACAGGACAAGTAAATATACATAAAGGAAAAAATGTATACATATGTGTAATATAAAGTAATAAACATATTTGATATTTTATAATCTTAAAACATAAAAGCCTGCATCTGAAGCAAAGACGCAGTCATCAAGAAGTCACTTCGTAAGAAGGAGGTTCGAATTTCTTTTATAATCAGTATTAAATATTGTTCAGTTCGATTAAAAAGAAATAATATTGCAGAGAATATTTTACAATAATAATTTTAATTTTAAAATATGCTTCGACCTTTGCGCCCGGCCCTGCAAGAGAAAGCAATTAGAGAGGTATTTGAAAAGCCTGAGAGAATAAATTCTGATATCAAAATGCTGAGGGAATGGCTCGAAAAGCAGCCGCATTTACAAGCAGTTAATCCTTGTGAGTATTTTTTTCAATAAAATAATAATATAAATAAGAAAAAGCTTTACTTGCGAAAATACGTAAGTGATTTTTATATATTTTCTATTAGTATTTGCAATATTTAATAGAGTCTAATTACTATACAAAACTTTCTTCAAGCTGATCAATGGTTATTGTCATTTTTACGAGGAAATAAATTCAGTCTGGAAAAAACTAAAGAGAAATTGGACATGTATTATGCATTAAAAAATATCGTGCCAGAAATTTTCAAGGATCGAGATCCATTCGATCCAAAAATTCAAGAAATCTTAAAACTCGGGTAATTCTTTACAATACAGATATATAATTTGTGAGATTCATATAAAATTTTGCGGCGTTCAGTTGTCCTGAAAACCGTAAAATGCCTTGTTGGTTTTTTATAGCCCGTATCTACCTCTCACATCACTTACTTCGGATGATGGACAGCGATTTTGTGTTACTCGTTTTGGATTACATGACCCAAATAAGATCCACATATTCGATATTTTAAAGGTTATAATTATGATAATTGAAATACTCATATTTGAAGATGACAACTTTATAATCTCTGGAGAGGTGGAGTTTACTTGGTTTATTAAAGTTTTTATTTAAAAGTTTTTTAGCTTCGTCTATACATTAATAAATTAAAATTCCAGAGTTTATTTATTGATCTGAAAGGTGTTAGTCTAATTACTTTAAGCCAATGGACTCCAAATGTTGCAAAAAAAATTTTAGTATGCGTGGAGAAAGCTCTTCCAGTTCGAATGAAAAGTTGCCATTTGATGAATATTCCTCCGGGGTTTGACACAGCATTTTCTATATTTAGGACTTTTGTCAGCGAGAAACTTAAAAATAGAGTAAGTTGCTCCAAAAATACTCAAAACAAATATATCTTTAGTATCCAATCAAATATTACGTACTTCTTTGCTGGCAGCGTGATGGCATTATATGTTTTTGTAGATTCATGTTTATAACAAAAATTATGACGATATTTTTAATACAATTCCGAAATATATTTTACCAAAAGAATTGGATGGAGAAACTGGATCACTCCAGGAAATTGCTTGTAAGTATTGTTGTAAAATTTGTAATAATTTAATATGTTTGTAGTCATGCTATTTTTCTTCATTTTTTAGATTACTGGAAGGCAAAGGTTGAGAGTTATAGAGATTGGTTTCTTAACGAAGAGGAATGTTCGGATGAGTCTTTAAGACCAGGAAAACCTAGATCTTCTTCGAGTCTTTTTGGTGTAGATGGTTCCTTTAGGCAACTAGATGTAGACTAGAGAAATTTATTTATTTGTAAGAGAATATAATTTATAGGATGGTTTGAGGTTTTATAAAAATATGGAAATAATAACAAAAATGTAGGCTGTTTTCTGGTTGTATTATATGTATAAAATAGGTCGTTACATATATAAAGTGCAAAAAAATTAAATTTTTCACTAAAAATTAACCAAGTGACATCTTTATTTGCGACAAAATAATAATGTTACTTAGTTTACATTAAATAATTTTATTATGCCATAAAAATGTCGTACTTGACATTAATTATACCTACTACTTAAATTATTATACGACATATTTATAAAGTGTAGGCGACCTTGTAATCGTTAGTGCTAGTTATAATGTAAGTGTATAAGTAATAAAAAGCCATAAATAGAATTTCCTCCCTTTCGTTTCATTACTTTCTTTTAAAACATATTTTTTTTCATTGCTTTAAAGTTCAAATGACTTCAGAAGTATTTATTCAATTGTTAAACAAAAAGTTGTATAAATTTGAAGATCTCACTCTTTTAACGTTATTTTTGTTTATGTTTTATTTATGAAAAATCCCATAATAAATTAAGTAACAATAATAAAATAATATAACGAAAAATTACAATAGCGACATCTGTTAAAGTAAGTACCAATCTTTAGTTCCATTGACATCAGCTTATTTTGTCACACTATTTAAAATCTTGTTCTTGTGTCTAACAACAGATGACTCTGTTATCAATATTATACACTTTTGGATTGTACAACATACAGTTATTGTTTTTAAACATCTGATGAAATTAACGTTTATTTTAATATTTCTTATATTACCTAAAATATTCACAATGTCAGTTTTCATATTCTTTTAATATAAAAAATTCAAATTTATATTAAAAAGCCGGTACTACACTATATGTTATGAGAATTTTAAGTTTTTTATTGATAAATGAATCTTTTTGTATATAAAAGTACAATAAGATGTTTTTTTGGATTGAATTTTTTTGATAAGTCAAATTAGTAATAAATTAAATAATTATATCCCATATATGAAATATATAAGTGAAGAATGTGGTAACAATGTTAAAAATCGTAATAAACGGAGTCATACTTATGTACATATATTAAAGAGAAAGATCTAGAAGTCAGGTTCTCTATTCTAATTTGTTTATAAATAATATGGAACCTTCATTATAAGCCTTAATGTAAGGCCAAAAACCCAAAATAATTTTATTAATATAGGATTTGCAGACAGTCTTTTATTATCACCTCTCGTTCGAAATTAGTCAATAAAGCTGCTTAGGTATATAGTTTTTTTAGCAAAGATCATTTAGTTTCGTATTACAAAAACGAAAATATTTATTGATTTTTAAATTTACGCCATTGAAGTTTCTGCCACCATATCATTTACTTGATCATTTACATCGTGTATTGTCGTTTTTCAGTTAAAATGTAACATTTTCATTTTGAAGTACTACACAGAATTACCAAAAAAGCTTCGTACCTTAAATTATATTTAAATACCTAATTACGTAATTGAATCACAGTAAACGATTAGGGAAATAAATTAAAGTAATTATGGCTTCCGTATATAATTTGTTTAAATTATGTTTTCTGTCTTAATTATTACCTTGGCAATTACGTCATATACAGGGTGACTGGTGAATTACTATCGATATTTGAGGACGTGGTAGTTGATGATCATATATGACAAAATAAAAATTAATATAACATAAATATTAATAAACTTCTAAGTAAAGTTAACCAAAAGTTATGTAATTAATTACGCATCGTGTGAACACCCTACAGATTAGGTATACACACACACTCACACATACGCGGCGGGGGCGTGGTTTTGTATCAGCACGCCGCCGCACGCGTCCACACTTGGAACACTTGGAACGTGTCAACACTATTTATTTATACGGAAATTTTGTCAAAAATTAAGTACCTATTTTTTTTACATAATTCGAATGAGAATCATGTACCGAGTATGCTCCTTAAATATTGATAGTAATTCACCAGTCACCCTGTATATAGACAAAATCCTATTAGAATGTTATGACGCAAAAAAACATATTTACTCTTTGTTATTTCTAAAATAATAATAATTAGATATGCAGCAAAACTAGTTCAACGGGAAAAGTAAACGTTTATTCATCAATAATAAATATATTATGTATTGATATATTTAACTGTAGTTAAATAATAGTAATTATATTTTTTATTATGACTGCGCTAATGACAATATTATTAGATGGAACAGCATACATCGTGTTCCGCACTAACTCACAGGTAAACAGTTACAATTATCATTAACTAGGTTATATTGTTATGAGTTATGGTTTGTGGAAATTTTGTGGTTCACACGCTTTGCAAAATTTTAAAATATCAGTTCAAATAACTTTTACATATATTATAGTAATTGCTATTTAATTTGCGCAAATATTTTTTTTTATTAAAATGTTATAATGGAGTGTTTCCGCTAGATTAACATAAAACAGCTTTGTTTCTAGTTATGTATTTGCAATAGAAATGCATTTCTTGAGCAATTCATGTAACATTGGAAGTCAATAAACTCATCCGAGCCATGTGGACTAGCCCCTTAGGATAGCCTCTTCAAAGAGTCATATCATATACATTTCTCTTAATAGACTTATGAAATAATTTAAATCAACTAAGAAGTTAGTTAATTGCATTATAGTTTTATTGGATATTTCTTAACGCATATTATAAAAAAAGAATGAGAGAATTTCTTTATTAGATAAAATTTTTAATTTCTTTACTTATAAATTTATTTTTTATATATATAAAGTCAAAATATAAGAGAAGACATTTTAATACATACACATAATTTCTGTTACTAAGTTTTAAAATAATATTGATAGGTAAACATAAAAATTAAAAACAAAATAAGTATTTCTAAAGATCCGAAGATAAAGAGAGATAACTATGTATATCACAACTTAATCATTTCAAAGTCAGTTTATTTAAATCATCAAGGTGAGCGTGTATTCCCAATGCATTCTAATGGTTCTCTTATCGTTACCACGATTTTTATTATTTGGGTAAATTAGATACAAAATAATTTGAGCGCGTTACTGTGACGTATAGTGGCCTGGGCGCAGGGGCGCGGGCGCTGTTACACCAGTCTTACTTCGTAGTTGTAGCGAACGAACGTCGGAATTGCGCAGTGACATTACGCTTTGATATGTTTACATTTATTCGTTTTTTATGGTGCTTGTGCAATACCTGACGCACGGTAAAATGTCTCGGGAAGATATCAACGAACAGTCCTCGTCGGGACATGTTTCTGATGACGACGATGTTGAATTCAGGAAGGACAAAACTAGTGTAAAACAAATGATACTTCGCTTTGAAAGAACTGGTATTCCTCTGGGGGGTTCCAGTGAATCCCTCGAGAGATCAAAGGACCCTATGTTAGGAAGTTTAAGTAGTGTTGTGAATCCAATTCAAGCTCATTTTCAACATTTATCACCAGTGCGTTTATCACAAGATAGAAACTCAAATGTGTCTGTGAATTCTATCTTATCAAACGTGTCGGAAATGAGTTTTGAATCAAGCTCTTCAGGTTTTGCATCCGATAGGAAATCCTCTTCTCTCAAACCTCATCGACCAGCTCCAGCTCCTCCAGAACCATTTAATGACAGCTCTTCTGTGGACAGTAAATCTTCCTTACCCGAAGATATTGTGACTTCGTTAGATGAGAGAAGATACTCATTTACAACACCTTCTTCATCTCCCGTAGTTTTACGGCGTTCTAGACAACCGCCAGTAATACGAAGGAAATCATCACTAGGAAGTCAGGGACGATTTGGCGAAACACATTGGTCATATGGTGTAAGACAGATTGATTTAGAAAAAATACTGAGGTTGAAAGTATCAGTGCCATCAGATAACGAAGAAGATTCGAAGAATAATCAGTGTCTCGATTCAACATTACTTAGTGATAGCAGTAGTGATGATTCTAATGACAGTGATAAATTAGTGGAAGGTAAAGAGTATATAGTCAATAATGATGATGGTAAAACGGATACATTATCGACGGATCAATCAACAGATACGTTAATAAACGACTATGAAAGCGATGATGGTGATAATTTATCGGGTGCTTCGGAAGATCAGAGTAATTTTGACAATGTGAGCATCAAATCTATATCATCATTGGATATGGTACCCTACCAAAAGTATGACACCATTACAGTATCATCGGATGAGTTCGGTTCCGAAGTTTGCCATGCGCCTGTTACAGAATTCCTTACTGTTAGTGCAGTAAACGAGTGGTGTGTTTCAAAGTCCACAGAACCGGTATTAATGCCAGTGGAATCAAAAAAGGAGAAATATCGAAGGTGAGGTCATTTGATTATTATTCGTATCACAATAAAATACTTGTGTTATAGATATACGCTTTGTTACACGTCGATATCAGATAATATATCGCATTACCATTGGATTCAGTGATAGTAATATGCTTGATAATTTTTTTACTAAGCCGGCTTTAAATTCTTTCTTAAAATACCCTGTTATCTTTTTGATGTTGTACATTTGAATACATTCCATTATATTTAATATTAAAATTAATTAAAGCGCGATGTCTTTAAAACATCTGATAGGTGATTTGTGTACAAGCACACTGTCGTTTGCGATACTGACGACGTTTCACCTTGATGTTTATTCATATGGTATGAAGTAAGTAGGTGTGTAACATGGCCGTATTTACCTCCTCTATTTGATTTGCGTCTCCTATATGTGTTGCACTTGATGTTGATTTAAGTTGTGCACGAAATTTATTACAAATTATATGAGGATAGATATTTGTTATATGTAAATGAATATTTAAATGCATTATAGAAGATATCATTGTTCTAAATCTATGAACTAGATGTCGTTATCAAAATTCTACTTTTGTATGCAGCTCATTAGTTGATAACAGTAATATACATTGAATTATATTGCACTATTTCTATAATAACTCTATACAGTTACAGTTCTATTAATATTTTAAATACTCAACATTATCGTTTCTTTTAGTCAATTTAAAAGCAGTTATAAATAGACAAACTGAACTTGAACTAAATAAAAATATATTGTTGCTTAAAATACAAATTCTTACGATTATCTAGGTAATATAAAATAGATTCTATAACTATTGAAGAACTCGTTTTCCTCATATCGTCATGATCTAGACATGAATTGTTTTGTAAATACTATAGGACTCCGAAATCAAGCTTAGATATGTTACTACGATGAATGTTTATAAACATGATGTTCGTAGTTATGTCACGTCGTTGAATAATAGTTTATGTATACATATTATAATGTCTTAAATGTATATCAATACTTATATGAATTGGCGGCATTGTTGTTATACATTTAGATGTAACGAATTGCTAAAGAACTAAAACAATTGTAAAATAAAATACACACACATTGTAAAGATTTCGGAATTGTATAAAATGCACAACATTAATATTTCGATGAAAAATTATCTTACATAATATAAAACTGTTTCTAGTTACCAATTAACATGTTGATAATAGTGTTTATTTTTTTTATTTTCAGTCTGACAGGTTTTATTTTGCTGCAACAGTATTAAAATATAGCTATTAAAAATGACAGTTGAGATTTTTTTATAAGTTTCCTATGAAAATATGAATAAAATATCTCATATGCATCGTATAAAAGTTTGTTTATAATTAAGCTTACGTTAAGAGAAAAGGCCATAACGGTTAAACGTCTATACACATCAATAACTTTGACATCTCATTACAGAGCCTGAAACTTGTGGACATAAAATATTGCACATTCGACTGTTCAAAGATAATAATATTTTATTGTACTGAGATATTGCTTTGTTCGCCATTCATAATTGTGTCGTATTCATTATATTTTTAACAAATTACGAAGGCAGATGTCTCGTCTATGGATAGATCAAATTTGTCTTAAGAATATTAAAACAAAGTCGGGGTCGAGGCTGATAGAAATTTAAATAAGAATCATTTTACTTTAATTTAAACCCCTTCATTGCAAGTGTTTTTTAATTTCTACTGTTTTTCTCATACAGAACGATATAATTTAGATATATTTATTGTCGATAGTAACGAATTAAAAGAAGGCTATGAGTCATTCTACATTAAATCGTCACGATTATAGGTCAGGTGACGGCATAAAGAGATATATTCTCGTATCTCAACAAGAAAAATAATATCTTAAATGATATATGGAATGACCGAAGCAAAAAAACCTGTAAAGTTTTTTATAGATTTTGTTTTCTCATAACAACATAGCATTTTATTTTCTATGTATTCTTAATAACATTTATATGACTGTAGTTAATAAATTTATAAAAAATATATTATAATTTAAAATGTGCACTATACTACTCATTAAAATTAAAACTCTAACGAGTCGATAAACTATCCACGAGTACAATATAATCGCGGCACAACGCGTACTTGACACCGGTTTTATGTAATCTCAAATATTAAATACCATTCATATAGATTGCATGAATTATAATAAGAAGCTATTCAACAAGTTTATATAAATACAACTATATATATAGTACAATAGTAATTAAATTCAATGGAGTATACATACTTATACATATGTACGTTTTAAGTAACACCATCGACTATTGCGGCTAAAATGATTATGAACATTGTAATTCATAGTAAAGTCACGTGTGTCATAATCGGATTGTTTGATTATTACCTTGAGAGCACTATAGCGCATTATGAGATTGTAGCATTTTACAATAACAAGTAAACTTATTGGTTTCATGATTTAGTGTTATACTTTCTCGTTTTGGCATTTGTTCAGAATTGTTGGTAATATGTTGTCAGCTTAAATAGCTCATCCATATAGAGGTTCAATGTCACTGTTAAAGATTGCGTCATACATTTCATTTTATAATATATCTATGTGTGCTTAACCTGATTCTTGAAAGTGTACAATATTTTATAGGTAACCTTAACATTCATAAATTTTGTGTTTCAGCCAAATTATATTTTGGTTATAATAAGTATTTTCTCTGCTTGTGTCATTGTTTAGACGTCACCTCTGAATATAATTTGGCGACTATTCAAATAGATTTTAAATGCACCGTCCGGTAATCAAGTCGTCAATTTAGTGTAATTTTATGAAAATCAAGTTTTTGTTGTTTTTTGGGCTATCCGCTATACCATTTTTAAATTTCAGAGAAAATTCATAGATATCCTATGATAATTTTTAGTAAAATCTATTTTGGTTTTCTTAAGAAGTAATTAGTATACATACAAATATTAGTGGTATTCTTAAAATTTTTTACAGCTGCTAGCGTGGCTTAATATTAAATCAGATATTACAATCATTTTACTTAAAAACACTGCATTGGAGTAAGACGTTCTATTCTTACGATATAAACTTGTGTAGAATCTTATAATAATTTTTAATACACATAATACAAATGTAACTATTGTTATCATAATATATTAATCATATCTCTATTTAAACTTTTAGTTTTAATGATTAGCCGGAATTACTATTTATTTATATCAAAGGCGCGGGCGTTGTCGAAGAGAAGGTCACACTAATTATATGTTACAGCCATTGTTTACATTTTTGTTACACATAATTTATTCACATCTGAATTAAAATATATGTTGGTATATTGTTACTATTCATTCGAGTGTGTGAAGTTTAATGTCAACCACTTTGATTTAAAATATTCGTAGGTCAATAAGAAGCTTGTTGCGGGTATATTTATGACATATTATATTATTTCTTTTGAAATACATTATAATATAAGCCAAAAAAAATTGATAGTCTTTAAGTTGTCAAAAAAAATACCAACAGTTAACAAATTCTTCATTATATGTAATACATATTAGAAGGATTTATATAACGGTATTGGATTTCATACAGTTATAGGTTAAATTAATTAAAACTAAATCAGTTTTAGTATAAGTACAATTATATTCTTTTAGACGGTTGACAGAACGTGTGAACGAATTGCTGCATACGGAAAACGTTTATGTGGAGAGGTTGAAGCATGTTGTTGATGATTATATACCATTGATGATGAGGCCAGACATCCCACCGACAATCAGAGGCAGAAAAGGAGATATATTCGCCAATATTGAAAGGATATGTCGCTTCCATGCTGAGGAATTTCTCCCGGCTCTTAGAGATTGTGAGAATGATCTCAGAAAACTTGGCCAGTGTTTTAGGATATTCGTGAGTATCTTTGTGTTAAGACTTAAAACAAAGATTTGTATTTTTAAATTGTTCCAGTGATTGTTATAATCAATTAAAATCGAGTGAAACGATGTCACGGTCTGATTTTGTGCGTGATTCCATGCTTTGTTTACCTGTCCATTGTAAAAGAACCTTTCTTTCATTCTCTCCCATGTCAAATACTGTTTAAAATTCTAAACAGCAGATCTATACAAAATGGTCAATCGATGACAATGTTAGTGATGCACGATTTTTAAAGTTGTTAGGAAGACATAATGACATATTCAAATTTAAACTACTGCTATTTAGTGAAAGCCGAGGTATGGAGAAAGTGTGTTTGCAAAATTTTACGTTTACATCTAGATTAATTTTAAAATAATCATTAATTTTGATAAAAAATCGTTTCAGGAACAACGGTTTAACATGTATGTAATGTACTCTAGGAATAATAAGAGAGCAACTAGACTGGTCTATGAAAATAAACATTTCTTCGAGGTGAGTTGAAGACACGAATTTGTTAACAGATCGTTGTATATTTAAATTCCGAATATACATACAAAGACTTTCGTTAAAATTAATGAGCATTTCTAAATTGGAACTTCCTAATAATATGTATTTTGTACAAAAATCATTGTTGTAGTTATAATTTTCCTACACCTAATATTTTTTACAAAACTAACTTTACAAAACAATATAAGAATAATTATAACTGTTTGATAGTATTTTTTGATTGAGTTAGTTTCTTTTGCATCGCTAAACAAAACAAAACAAAAGAATGAATAACTGATAAAAACTTGAATTGTTAGATTAATGTTAATATTTAAAACACGGAACGTGGTCGTTTTTATTTCCTCATTTCTGAAGTTACGATGTATGAAATGCTTTGTAACAGTAAAACTGTCGATTTACCGTTATATAAAAGCAATACCCTCGTGTAGCATTAATATCTCTTATTTAATTCAAGTGGTATATCAATTATACATATTAAGATTTTTATAGTGAAAGTTCATATAATGCTTCGCGCCAATTCCGTGTACAAACTTCTCAGTCTAGTTGTTTAGATAAAATTCTGCTCCAGTAAACCTAGTTGATGGTGATCACATATCGCATTACACGCTCCCAATTTCAATCGGTGAAAGGCTCTTATTGATCTTTAATTACGAGTTGCGCTCAATTATAAAGACGGATAAGGTATTCATATATTGTAATCAAAACGCTATCACAATCCTTATCTTTCAATTTTCCAACAGCAGACTGGTTATGATACGACATAAATTCAAGGCTTATTTTTATTATTTATATAGTGAATATTTTATAATTAAAATATAGTTACTTACCACTGTTTCATTTGCTTTCCAGGAGCGACAGTTAGAATTAGGTGATAGGTTGGACCTACCGAGTTATCTTTTGGAACCAGTGCAAAGGATACCGAGGTATAAATTATTTTTGGATGATCTAGTGAAGACTTATACTAATTATGAAAATGAAAAATGCGAGTCGGATTCACGGATATCAAAATTAAGTGTGGATAGTGATGAAACAGGTGGTAGTAATGGAGATTCATCGGATGCTGATGAAACACCTTTAGAGAGTTTGAAACTCGCAAAAATTATGATAGAAAACGTTTTGACTGCTATTGATGGTATAATGGCTTTAGAGAACATAACAGATTGCCCGGTAAGTATTACTCGTATGAATGCTTCTATTGCAGGCCATTGTCCTTTTAGCATTGCATCCTTGCTTCAATAGTTTAGTATTATTGTATTCATATTTTGAAATTGCTGTACCCTAGATAAAAACTTACGAATGTAGACATTTTGAAGTACTTTATCTGTGCCAAACATGATAAAGGGGAAATAACCTCATAATTCATGTCCCTTATAAGTATTCTATCTTCAATATTTTTAGTAAAAATTATAATAAGTATAGGCTAATGATAGCATTAGAATATTTTACAAATTCCGTCATAGTTTTATTCTAATGTTACAAAGGACAAACCATTATATAGAGGAAAAACATTGTTTATTTATTTTTCAGGCGTATTTGAACTTATTTAATCAGGGTAGACTGTTACGTCAAAACGAGTTTTATGCAATGGATAACGCACGCCGGCGCCGTCAGCTCATGCGGGTCTTCCTCTTTGACAAGTTGCTCCTCATTACAACGGTTTATCGGAAGGTCAGTGCGTTCATTTGTGATTTATGCATCCGTATGCTTTCACATTTATTTTTAATATTGTTAATAAAGCTGAGTAAATTGCTTCAATGCTACGGTATCAAATTATTTCATGTTCACGCTCCAGTGACCCAAGTCCGTTTGCCAGATATAACAACTGCTCTTTTATACGAATTTTTTAAATATATGCCTGGTATCCTCATACGTTTTTTATTGCATAAAAATATGGCTGTTAAATTTTTTTTGTGTAATATAAATTATTTTTAAATTAGGTTAACTTAATGTGGCGTTAAGTGACTTATGGTATGGATGATTTTGTACACATAAATGACTTTTAAAGTATTTTAAAGTTATTATTTACAGTAATTATTGAAACAAACTATTGCTATTGCTATAAAATCAATCGTATGTGGATGTTATTTTTAAACATCCATTAGTATTTTTGGTTAATACAGTGTTATATATACATATTGGAATGTATTGTGCATAGAACATGATAAGGTATGACGTCCTCAGTAAGGAGAACAGACATCTGTCAATTTAACAGATAAAGAGGAGACAATTGAAATATTATTGCAATTAACTATGTATATTCTAGAACACATCATTATACGGTTAGCATCTAAAACTTTTATATAAATTGCAACACGAAACACAATAACCGCTATAATATTGAATAGTCATGTTGTTATATTTTGTCATATTTTGTAATTGAAGTCTGAATGGAATATATATTATTACAATAAAACAATGCACTCTAAATGATTCATTATAGTATGATTCATGGTTTATCGAATTGCAATAAAAATTTGCGTATTATTGTGGTCAACGGTGGCACCTCCTGTCTCTAGATAAGATGAATAAATACAACATCAATAGAAAATAAATTATATTATATGTGGTTAAAGTTAAAAGAAAAGAAATTATCACTAAATCTGTGAGGTGGCCCTAGCTTGGTAGTCTTTCAATAACATTAAGACTTAAAATATAGAAAAAACTAATGAGCAAGTAGTCACAAGTAAAATAACAGAGAATATTTTATACTTAATTTTATTGTAATTTCAGTTCAAAGCGTTGAAAATATTATCGGCTTTGTCATGGAAAAACCGGCATATGATAATATCGAATTTATATAAAAATTATTTTAATGCAACTGTGTTATTTGGCAAACATTTTATTTTAAAAATTTTACGTTGAACTGATGTACTGAAACGTGATAAACTTATTAGTAAAAAATTTAAAATAGTAAAATTGGCATACCAGTGAAAACAAAACAATAAGAGATAAAAATAGATATGAAATACAATGTTCTATTATAGAAATAACAAGTAGTAAAACTACCTGTAAACAAGCTTCTTTAAATAACTGAAGGTTGGCGTTTGATTACACTGACTTAATTTCTGTCAATTGTATACAGTTTATCAAACAAAAGAAGTAAGGGTGTGGAGGATATTTAAGTTAATACATTATAAGTGGAGCTTATACAGTTATGATTCGTAAAAAAATATCTCAAGAATAAAAGCGATTTTCATTTTACGTAGGCACTTCCATTTAACGTGGCGTATAATAAGATACTGAGCAGATATTACAAAAATAGTTTATTAGGCGGACGCGCCTCACTGGCGTCGGAAGCTGATTTCGTAGACGGAGAAATTACGTATGACTAGCATTTCTAACTTCTCTGTTATGTAAATGTTTTTAACATTAAATATTTCATCTTATTTTCATTATATTATAAACATAACATATCTTATATACAATTTAATATTATATTATATCATAATTTATTTATATATTTTCAAGTATCCCTTGTTTAAAATATATTCGAAATAGAAATAAAAAGAATTACATTTTCTTCTTTTGAACGTTACAAAAATATGTATAAATGAATCGCATTATTTATACAATGAACATTATAACATATTTTTATTAAGCTCTTGTAGCCACAATACCGCTTTTATTCGTATTAGATATAAGTAGGTAATTCCCGGAGTAAGTTTATTTTTCTTGTCACCGGATTTGGTAATCATAACATAGCTTGTATATTCTGATATCTCTATTTACATGGATTGTATAATATTTTATTATTCTTTTACTAAAATCGCCAGTTAAACTTTATGATTATACAGGGTGACTGGTGAATTACTATCAATATTTAAGGAGCATACTCGGTACATGATTCTCATTCGAATTATGTAAAAAAAATCGGTACTTAATTTTTGACCAAATTTCCGTATAAATAAATAAAGTGTTGACACGTTCCAAGTGTTCAAGTGTGGACGCGTGCGGCGGCGTGCTGATACAACACTACGTCACGACACGCGTATGTGTGAGTGTCAGTGTATACCTAATCTGTAGGGTGTTCACACGATGCGTAATTAATTACATAACTTTAGGTTAACTTTACTCAGAAGTTTATTAATATTTATGTTATATTAATTTTTATTTTGTCATATATGATCGTCAACTACCACGTCCTTAAATATTGATAGTAATTCACCAGTCACCCTGTATATTTTTTTGAATATCCCCATCAATACTTTGTTATTTAATGACTTCATTGCACTTTGTTACAAAATGACGTTTTTACTTTTTAATTTTTATATCATGAGACTGATGTATTGAACGTGACCGCCGTTAGATAAAAATGAAGTTTGCATTTATCTCCTTTAGCTTTACATATTAAGATTCCATTTGTATGTTTATGGTATACAAATATTACAGGGATTTCCTTTCATCTATATGAGTAATATACATAAAAAAAAATGCTATACGTCAACTATTTTTCTATATCATTAAATGTTTTGTTTAAATGACCTAATTTCTTATTTCAGCAATTGACCGTGGACTTCTTTATATACAAGGATCATATACCGGTGGATGATCTAGGAATCACAGCGAAGGAACACGATCAATACAAGTTCAGCATATGGTACAAGAAGAGAAATCTCAAGTCTTACAAGCTGGAGACGAGAGATCCAGCCGTCAGGAACAGCTGGGTTGAAGAAATAACTTCTCTTCTTTGGGAGCAGGCCATGCAAAAGAAAGGTAACATTTTTATTGAGTTTTAAATAAATCGTACAGTTTTACGTGATATGAAACGAATAATGCTGATTGACTCAAATTTAACTTTTATTTATCTTTAAGACTTCGTAGAATATAAACAGGAAATATTGGCAACGAATTTCGATCTGATCACGTTTTAAATTTTTCTTGATTATGTGTTAAGTTACGAGAGTGACAATTAGTAATCAAATTTTATATCTATTTTGTAATAAATATAACATTTTATTATCGCTATATTAATATGGTTAACAATTTGTATGATTGGTAAAATGTTGTTATATAATTTCTGACGTAAACAAAACGAAAATTATAATGTATGTATCACAGTGCGTGTCATATGTCTGTGGGAGTTATGTAACTCTTCTCAAATCGCACTGATTGTTTGTTCGGATTGCACGTATTGTTTGGATTTCCAAACCACAGAACATGAATAATTTGTTCTATAATTATAATCAAGTATAGTTCATTTCACGGATGGATGGCTTTACCGCAGTTTCAGATAATAATTCACACAATAATAAAAATTATGACTATATAAATATATATATAATATAAACTACATATTAATAAACCTAACAAGTGTGTGTTATCCAAATGAATGGATGTGTTATTCGGTAAGTCCATTAATAAAGGAACTTGTTAATTCCATCTGGCACTCGACAGCGTAGCGGCATAGTTGATGCGGATAAACTTTTTAATTGATCGTCATCTGCTCCCGGCTTTATACGTGACGGAAGACGTGCAAGGTTCTTTATCGTTGACGCATGCAGGGTCGATGACTGCGCTTTTTTCATTGGCCTCGTTGACTTGCACATGCGTCCGTGGGAACGTCAGGAAGTTGACTTTTTATTCCCATCAATCAGAATCGCTTTCGTTTTTTATTCGAAGCATTGCAAATGAAAGCGTATTTTGTTACATGTAGGCACTTGAGTAGTTCATCGAAAATGAGGGCACATTTCCTTCAAAATTCATTAATTATTCAAGATTGTATTTCTTTAATTCTTTATAAAATCTGTTAAATAATTCTCGTAAAGTATTACAAGTTGTAATAGATTTAATCGTATAGTATACTGTTTAAAGATTTTGCATGCATGAGCTAGTGAGCGACAGTCGTTATCTTCTTGTGTACAATGGTCTTTTGTCTAACGTTAAATATATAGCTAGTGATATGTCGCATGACTCACGTATTGCAGAGTGCATTACTAATTCATTACCGGCGCGTCACAACTTTGTAGTTTGTATCTTATAAACAAATATTATTAGTGTATACATAAAATTTATATTACATTAGTACTATTGTACTACTTAAAATATTAAAGGTATCTGAATTGGATATCAAGTGAAATTCATAACAGTAAAATGTAGTAATTTCTGCTGCATTCCATGTTACTACAATTTCAATTGAAAAGGAAGTTTTATTATTCATTAGCTGGTTTAGGTCTCTATATCTTAATCCAATATTGGGTTAGTTGGTAGTCCGAATACTAGCGAATACTAAAGTTACACGATAGTTAGTATTATAACGATTTAGCTTTTACTGGTGACTTTGTACGGTTGGAATTTAAAAGTTAATTTTTTTTTAACTTAATTATTATCATAGGTATAAAAATTTGTAAATACAAAAAGAGACATTACCAATTAGAAAAACTAGAGGAAAAATATATTAAATTAAAGCTTAAAAGTTAAAAGGTGAAAGAGTCTTATTGAATCCGGTTCTTGCTAAAAACTCATGTATTTATTTAATTTTGTTCGAGTTAAGAATATTTAAGTATAATTTACAGTACTATATCACATTTTTTGAAAGAGATATGATTTAATGTCATAGTTTGGCTCAAAGGTGACGTATGCAGTGTCTTGTAGACCGTACTAAAGTTTTCTTCAATTCTTCTTCTTTTTCTTCAGAACTTCAATTAAGTGTTCTAAGTCATGATCAGAAAACAACGAAAAAGACAAATATATTATTATTAATATAGATAAGTTTTATATAACTGTTTGTCTACTTTTCAGGTTTTCTTGACAAATTTAATGATTCAGCATTATATGTCAAATTGCTGTGAATGTAAATATAAGTAAAAATTATTATATCAGTTATCTCTGTCTTATCTGTTAAAGCGCTGTGAGGTGCGGCCCCCAGATATCTTAATGACTTAAAATCATTTAGTATTGTAATCATTATCTAATGAAAGATTGGAATTCCAAGTATTTTTTTACATATAGATATTTACATTAAAACTAGGTATCAATATTTAAATTGCTGTTCTTATAAAAGTATAATATAAAAATGCAACAAGATGTGTTTTTAAATTATTTAAACAATGCCTAGTTATATTTGAATTTTTTTTTCAACATAAACTAAAAAAAATACACTTCTTTATGTGGTGAAATTTTAATAAGAAATAAATATTACTATTAATTTGTCATAATGGGTTTCTTTAAACTTCTATTTCAGAACTTCTTATGCAACAACGGAAGAAGAGGATTTCTATGGTGTCTATGGATAGCCAGGAATCGGGAGACACGGAAAGAAACGATGACAAATGTAAGAATACTACAATTAATTACAATTGTGACTAAACTAGTTGTAAGAAACTAACCACTGCACAAACGTAATCACCTTAGACTGTTTCTCATACCGTGCTACGGAATCGTGTAAGCTGCTTTACACTGCTTCAATGAAAAGAGGGGCTTTTAAGTTGTAATTAAACATGCCTTTTATTTTCATTATATTCTACAGATAAAATTGTTAGAAAAATAATTTATCAATCTTTTCTGCAGGTAAATTAGATGATTTCGTTTTCGTGAAGTTGCACCCATGAATTGCTTTGTAGGTCAGTACTTTTAGGCTCGCTTCCAGATTTGTTAATATCTTTATATTTTTGCTTTGTGGTTGTAGCATGTACTTTTAAATGTCTTGTATAGATGTCTTTTTTCATTCGGCTTATGAACTCACTCTTTGATTGATTACCATGTTTCGTTTTGCATCTTTTAAAAAGGTGTTTACTTCATAGCGTTATGTGGTGATTGAACAACATTTACTTATGAAATTAATGTCATTTAAAATAATAAGTTTTATTAATAAGTAAGAAAAGCTGTTGGTATACATGAAATATATACATTTTTTAAGTATATAGTACTAAAATTAGTATTCTGTCTTTGAGAAGTAAAATTTAAATATTATAAATAGAATTTTGGTTTCTTTCAAGGTTCTTCTGTCCTGAATTATATTTGTCGCAAGTTATTTTTCATTATTATGTTTTTATAAAAGGTAACTTAAATCCTTTCAGATAATTCTCTCCGAGGTGTTCCTGGTGAAGTGTGTAGGTTGGGAGAGAGGAAATCCAGACGAACGACGTGGTATTGCGAGTGAAAGACTATCCTGAAAATAAGAGCATCTTAACACTTGACTGACATTATTGGTTAATTAGCATTTCATGATTATGAACCACCAAAAAACAAAAAAAAAAAAACAAAATATATGATATGTTACTCGTAATTGAATATCAAACGTTGGCACAAAATTAAAGATTTCAAAGAACCCCTTTAGTGAAATGAGTTGAGAAAAATATGTTTAATTCTCATTTTGTCATCAATATTTGTATAAGATTTTTTATAATTCCAAAGAAATAGATTGTGTAAGTTCATCATAATTAAATATTTACTGATAATTTATAAAATGTTTATTTACATGTGATAATTTAAAATTAAGTATACATTTTAAGAAAGTCCTATCAGTCATTATTCTAGAAGCTAATTATTATTATTTTAATGTTCAAATTTGTAAATAATGGAGTATGCAATAATTATTTTATAGGCGTATACATCTTTAATCTTGATTTTGAAGTTAAACAACATTTTCTTTAATAAACTTAGAAATTGATTTTACTCTTTGATTTTAAAAACCATTATGAGTCTCGTGGTCGGATTCGAAATAACGCGGTTGATTTTAATCTCTTCGTGAATGTTAATGAAGTTGTAATTAAATTAAATTTAAGGTAGTTATTTAAGGGTTATCAAGTTAAATTCGTTGAGGAAAATTTATAGTTTTGGAGAAAAACGTATATAAAACAGGTCATTTATTCTAAAGGCAGTGCTGAATGCACTTGCCATTTGTATTTTAGGCTCAGCTGGTGGAATCTCACGTTCTGCCTGTCGATAGCTCTTGAATAAAGTTCAATTCTCGTTAGATCGTTTTCCTGCTCATATAAAACGTTCACAATACTTTGAACATGAAATCGCTACATCGGACATTCATATATAAGACAGGTCAGTTATATTAAATGTTGAGATTTATTTTATTTAACAACTTGGTTTTACTATAGTCGGCGTTGGATGTATTACATAAAAGATTTATGAATTTTTAACTTAATACCTTCTTAGAGAAACTCATTTGTAACTAAAGAAATGAAACAAAGTAAAGAAACACATTTGTTAAAATCCGCAATGCGAAAAATTATAGCTCAGGGAGCGAAGTGGGGCGGAATATTCTACCTGAAGGCTAAATTTTATTGCCCCGCGTTGTTTTCGAACAATTGCATTAAAAGTGTATCAAAGGAGTTGCTCGTCGGCCTCTTTACGGTTATGGAGTAGAACGTAGGGATACAATTAATATTTTCATAATTTCAGCTGCGCAAAACACATTGAAATTCCTAAATTCCAAAATGATTTATCATCATTAAATATAATTACTTAAATTATAATTGTCGTTTCTTTTATTAAGACAAGGCAAACCTTGTTAATGTTCTAACTTATAAACTGTTTAGTCCCTGTTAAATGTGGTTATAAATTCAACAGGATTGTTTTTAAATCTCAATAGTTTACGTTTCATAGTGTATAAACCGGATATTAGATATGTAAATATTTGAATATTGTGGAAACTATGTATTGTAGGTACTTATTTATATCGGAGTAATAAAACAACAAATACTAGGGGAGATTTAAGTAAGAGATATAATTCAGAAAACATTTCGAGCTTTATAAAAAAATTAAGATCCTTATTAATTTTTGTTTTCCAGTAAGAACTTTTGTGGAAACGCAAAATGACGTCTCGGCGGATGGAAAGCTTTACGGCGCCATTTCTCTGAGCTCGACTTGTTCCGACAGGAGTTCTTTGGCGGCATCTTTAACACTCCCAAGAGGGTTCATTTATATATTCGCAACACGGAGCCGGCAATAAAACTGCGTTATCCTAGTCATTATTTAGTCATCGCAGAGTCGATTCTACTTCTCTGTGGAAATAAAATGCAACTGTATGACATTAATGTCCACGTAGATATTTGCAGTTACTTATTAAATTGTAACAGTTTTCAATTCACAGTGCAACAATAGACTAATCTGATTTTTATGACGCTGTTTCGTTAACAAAAACTATGGAAGTTTGAATATTCTTAACCATATTACACAAAAATATCTGAACAAGGTTTAATTTAAAGCAGGCAAAAGCATCTAAAAACAATTGTATTTTTTTTGCATTTTATATATTTTTCTTACATAATTTATCGTTTATACCACTGGTTATGTGTATTTTTTAATAAACAAAATAAAGACAAAATAATCGTAAACAAAGATACAAAAATAGTAATAAAATACTAGTTCGAGTTGTGAAACAATCGTGAAAAGGTGGTAAGAGTGTCGGTCGGGTCCGGTCACGAGCTCACCATTTTATGAGTCGGCACCGGGCGCGCTGCTAAATCTCCTTATTTATCCGGGAAAACATAAACCGTAGTCTCAGCAAAAATTAATTGGCTTCCACGCTCTTTCTTCTCGCACATTACGTTTTGTGAGTTTATTGTTTTCGCCTAACCTATCCATTTGGAGCTTTTATTGAAATAAAAGGTGTATGTCGGATAGATTAATTAGAACTTTTATGAGAGCCCTCTTTTATATGATTTATATCTTCATCCATAACAACGTTGAGTTAAAAACAGGATAATAAAAAGAATATATAGGGGTTGCTCACTAGGAACTAGTAAAGTATGTATATATTTTTATCCTTAAATAAAATATACTATAATAAAATAGCGAAATTGTAAGACCCGCATATGTTTTAAAATATACTCCGTGGCGTGTTTTATGGCAGTCTGTTTTGCTTTTATTTTTATGAGCGGACCAAATTTGGCGTGATGTTCAAACGGCGGATCATAACCGTCGGACACAGCAAATGTTTGCAAAATCCCATCCGTAAACAGGGCACTGTTCAGTCTAAGAAACAATTTCAAGATTGTAAACTTTACTCTTTTAAAATAGAGTTTATTTTCGTGAGACTCCACATGTTGCACTTAGCAAACACCTAGCGCGTAGCGAGTTTATTCCAGCCGCCATAAAAAGTGCTCGCTTTCACCTGGCACTTCTAAGAAAAGACACACTTCATTAAGGTGTTGATATATTTCATATAAATGTTCACTAAGTAAACAAAACAATAAATGCAATTAATGTTATGTAATAATATACATATTTCCGCCACATAACTAGTTAAAAGTTTTAAACAAAAGCTAGCCAAAAAGCAATACTAAGAAATCATATGAGTAAACGAACGGCATTGTTTACTTGAACGGAGCTTACACTTGTGCTTACACAACACGTTTCGTATAGAAACTGTAGAACACATGAGTCTGCAGTGAAGATCACACATGCGGCCTTCTTGCAGCAATTGCCACCGATAGAAAAGATGGTATTGAAGTTCGCACTTGCATGCAACTGTGAACTATCGTAGAACAATACGAGTGACAATGTTTCTTACTTTTCATACAAGGCTTGCATTTTAATCTCTTTTTATTTCATATTGTCTAAAATTTAAGTTTTATTAAAGATAAAATTGTTTTAAATATTTTATTTTATTACTTTATAATGCTAAGAAAGCAAGTGGATAACTTGTTTGTAATCAGTCACGAATTTAGGGACTATATTTTTTTGGTATTGGTCAGAATAATTCAGTTTCGAGTGAGCGATAGTTTGTCTGCGCTGTTCAAGCTGTTTTGCTAACAATGTATTTTATGTAATTTAACAGTTTCTGGACGCGGTGGCATAGTAAATTACACGGAGTTCAGTTAGTCAGGTGCCGTTGTTTAGACACCATATCACAGGCTGCAGTGATCCATTGCGATGGCCGCTTAATCCCAACTAGAGGCTTTGTCTCACGTCCAGCTTACTTTTATTACCGTACCGGCATGGCGAAATAAAACAAAAATTGGCGGGAATTTATGGGCCACAGCCCCAGTATGGCTAGTGGGGTGGAAAGTTTTCAATTTGAAACGAATAACTTGTTTGTCTCGTGTAATAAGGAGGGTTTTGTGGCGGGTAATAAGGGGCCGCAATGGCTGTCGCGGGCTTACTTAAAACTACTTTCTTGGTTTTATTACCTAAGTGCTGTGGGTGGGAAGTAGGAAGAGCTCGTCACGTAAGTTAAGGGTTGGTTGTGTTACGTTAGTTGCCGGTACTAAAAGTGTGATATATTATGTGGACCAACCGTATTTATATAAAAACAAAATCATCATGTATTTAATTATGTAACGTGGTATTTACATATGACGTATGCCTTCATACAAATATGCTTTCTAATATTTGCAAAAAAATTATAATTAAAATTAAGATTTAATTACTTCTTTAATTAAACAAATATCTCTTAAAATCTGTTCTTATTATATTTTAAGTGAACATACATTTTATATTCGCTTAATGGATGAAGAAACTTGTTTTATTATCTTTGTATGTACAACACAAAGAACCAATTCAAAGTTTAAAGTTAGTATAAAATATATACGTTCCCTAGATGCGGAAGTGGATAGTAAATAAAGAACATCAAAAGCTTATGAACCACAGTGACGAATGCGAAAATTATAGACAAAACATCAGGATTTGCAGTCGCGACGCTTACAACAACATGACGGTTTCTCGAGTAGCAAATTGAATGTTAAAACGCGAAAATGCGTTACCTGCCCCTAGCTGAATAAGTTATGAGGCCCGAGCTATTGGTAATGAAACTTGAATGACCTCAGGCGTGTACACCGTCTGGATGGAATTTCCGTGTTTACGTAGCTTTGGCGCTTATTCTGCTGTTAAGAGCCACTTGCGAGTAGGCTTTAAAAGACACGGGCAAACTAACGCAGCCTCTAGTTATATTCAAGTGTTGGGGGCAATTAACTGTAATCTTTTGAAACTGAAAATGTAAAGGAGATTTGTTCCTACTTTAGGATTTTTTTATATAAACACTGTCTGATAGTTTTTTTAAGATTTTTATTCCATTAATATTAAATGCACTTTGTATTTCTGTGTTTCCATTTACTTATTTATTTCATATTATTAAGTGGTTAGTTTCTGTAAACATAACATTAAATAAACATCAGCTAATATAACATAATTTATATCAACAAA